TTAAACTACTTATATTTATATAATTATTCTATAATATATATATAATTATTATATAGTATATATATTAAAATTAATAATAACTTACTTTCTTAAATAATAATTAAGAAATATTAAAATCGTCTTCTTATAAAAGTTATTAAGACCTTTATAGATAATGTTATATATATTTTTAAATATTACCTTATAATACTTGACCTTTTATATAAACCTTTTAATTAAACCTTTTAAAAGATTTATTATATAGTTTAAATATTCTTCTATAATAATTAAGTTTATATAAAATTCTTTTATTCAAATCCTTTGAATAATCCTATATATAATTATTTGTATTTATTTATTTTAGTCGTTTATTTCCATTTTAAATAATTATTATATTTCAATTAATCGTTTTTACTCTTGCTTTTTATATACTTTAAAGATTATATTACTTAATAGTTTCAATTATAATTTTCGAATTCTTATGAAATTAATGAATACAAGAAAATTACAAAATTAAATTATATTTATTAGATTTAATTTCTTTATATTATTATTTTATAAATTTAAATAAGTCTTAACAATTATTAAAGTAGTAAAATTAAGTTTAATACTCATTAAGTATTTAATATAAAGTAAATGAATTATTTTTTTTCTCTGTATAAAAATCGTACTTATAACGAATATATAAATAGAATACAAGGCTAATCAAATAATTAATTTCAATATAGTATAAGTAAAATAATCTTTTTATATAAAGGTAATAATTATAGTTAATATATAAATAAAATAGTGAAATAATGAAATTTTAAAGCCCTTAATTTTAAAATAAACTAAATAACTTAATCTTCTTTCTATAAAGGTAGCGAAGATAATTAATATACAAATAAGGTAATAAAGAACTAGAATATTTAACTCTAACATAAAGTTAGTAAATTGATATATATTTAATTAAGGTAATAGTCATGATTAATATATAAATAACATAGTAAAATATTTGGATTATAAAGTAATTAAGCTTAATATAAAGTAGGTAAATAGATTTTCTTTATATAAAAGTAATAATTATAAACTATAAATAAAAGTTTGACTTTTAATAATGTACTTTATTATAAGGTAGTTTAATTAATTAGGCTATAGTTATCTAAAGAACTATTTATAGTTTATAGAAATATATAATTAATTATAACAGTAATTTAAAATATTAGTACGTATAATAAAGCTTATAAAATTAACCTTATAATAATTAGCTAATTGATTTAAATTAAAAGGAAATAAAGTAATTTTCTTTATATAAAGGTAGGAAATATAATTAATATACAAATAGAGTAATATAATTATAAAAGAGTAAGTTAATAAAATAATAAAGTAATAAAGTAGTAAATTCAAATTTGAAATAATTCAATTAATCTCTATTATATAAAGGTAATAATTGCGGTTAATATATAAATAAAATAATAAAGTAATGAAGTAACTAATTTATATAGAGAATGAATAATATAATTAATTTAAAAACGATAAATAAAGTTAATATATATATTATAATTATTGTACAGAGAATTCTCCTTTTAAATAAAATAATGAGAAAGTTCTACACTTCTATTTCTATCATATATTATAGTAATTATCAGTAATTATAATTTAAATTAGTTAGGCCGTTATAGAGGATATTATATTGAATTTAAGTATTAAAATTATAGTATTCGAGCTACTTTGTAGCGTATATTCCAATTTTTTATACGTATATTCTTTACGTATAAACGGGTAGTTAGAAGCTTTCCAACTTTTTTTTTAAACGAACCCTCTTTATACTTTTAATAGTATTATTTCTGCGTAAGTTATATTATATTAAAGCAATTCAAGTCTCCTTATATTATAAATTCAAATAAAATATTTGATCTAAATAAAAATAACTAAAACAATTCCTTTAAATTTAAAAGGTAGGATTTAAATCTATAATATAACCCGTCTATAAAAGTTGAAGTACTTAATTTACATACAGAATTAATAAAGTAGTTATTATAATGTTAATAATTATAACTAAAATTATTTAATGATATATATTAACTAAATGTTTAATTAATATATAAAATATAATTAATTGCGTACTTTATTCTACTGATTAATCCTTAGCCTATATATATATATATTCTTTTAAAAGAATAGTTAATTGGGTTTACCTTATAAATACTTCTTTCTCCCTTTTTATCTTTATAAAACCTTAATAATTCCTTAATTAATATTTATATTAATTATACTATACCCTTAATAACAATTATATTTGAAGTTGTAAAGTAAGATTAATATATATAAAATAACCCTTTTTAATAGGGTATAGTAATTAATTTTAATAAGAAGTAAATAAAGTAATTATTTTGAAATTACTAATTAATATTGATATATAAGTTAATTTTGAGATAAAGTAAGTGTTAACGTGTGGCTAGTACTGTGCCTTGTAACTGCCTTGTACTACCTTGTAGTATAGAAGGCTAGTTGAACTATTCCTTCTACGGAATCAGTTGACTCAGTCCCCACAGAATGTACTAGAATACAAGAGGTTTTGCCACTGTATTCTAGAGTCTTATAACTTAGCTAGCATTTCTTCCAGACTGATTTGTCATCACAGGATTCAACAGAAGCTTCTAGATGCTTAGTGTCCATGTATATAGAGACCTCTCCTCTCCTTCAGTTCGTCACTCCTTAAGCAAGCAAGCAAGCACAAGTCAAGCAATACAATATAGTCTTTTCTCACAGTGCAGAGTCCACTGTAATCTTCTGTCTTGAGAGCAGAGTCCTCTCTAAGACCTCTTTTACAACATCCTTTTATTGTACTTGCAACTACGCTGCTTCCTTCAGCATTGCTGTCGTACTTCCTACCGCTTCCGCTCCGCTCTGCTACAAGTGCATAGTTCACTGTAGCAACCTTGTACTGGTGCTATCATTATAGGCCAGTCAGGGCACCGCAGGAAACAGTAAGGTAATTAGTTTTAAGAAAATTAAATATTCAATATAAATATAAAGTAGTGAATAAAATATTTATGGCTAAAGTTACGATAGATAGAATAATCCTTTTAAAAATGTAAAAGAATATATTTAAAATATAAATTAAATTACATAAAAGGTTATAATATATTTAAAGTTACTAGTCTCGATTTAAATATAATATAATATTACTTATAATACTCTATAATATTTCTATACTATAATCATTTAGTTATAAAAGAATAATTATGCTTTATTAATTTATATTACATTTTAATTTAATTTTAAGTATTAAAATTAAGAATTAAATGATGATAACGAACTAGAATAAGTAATATATATAATTTAATATATTAGTAATTACTAAATAAGTTTAATGGATTCAATATAATATTGTATATAATTTAAAACCCTACGTCAAATTAATTACTCAACGTTTTATTTAATAAAAAATAAATGTTAGAAGTAAATAATTATTTAAATAATATTTAAACTCTATTATATATAAACTGCTAGCTATATAATATAGCGGCTATAATCTATATACTAATATTAACAAATGGAAAGGTTGCACGCATCTTGGAATTATATAGAAATTTTAGTATAAACACCTAATTTTCGTACTTATAATAAAATAGAACTAAAACTTGTAGTTTAGGTAGGAAAATAAAATGAAAATTATATTTACATTATATAACTACTTATAAACCTGTATATTAGTTTTGGTCATGTTTGGACTATTGGTTGTTGTGTAATTAAATGCTATAGAAAATCCCTATAGAAAATGCCCGATTTTTACTATCCGATTGGGTTTTGTCATATCCGGTGGTTTTGGCACCAACTCTGTGGAGCAGAGTTGGGGAACAGACAGGAACTGTCAGCCTCACCAACGGGTACTCAGGTGTGGAATGCGGAACAAAATCTCACACTCCTGAATGTTGATTGGTGATGCCACTTTTGAGATGGCCTCTCGCCTTTACCATGACGGACGTCGGCATGTCGACGACGCTTAAGGCCTCGTCTATCAAACAGACCGAGGCTGGCTCCATCAGTTGAAAGTTTGCAATATCGAAAGATTGTCACAATGTTTCCTGGTCGTCATGACTCGAAATCTGTTGGGTAATTTCAGGTCCCGGCTACAGCGCTACGGCAAAGAGAGGCCCAGGGAGAAGTGCAGTGCATGCATGAGACGCCAGCGCAGATTTTCTGGTCCACTGCATTTGAGGGTCCAGATGCCCAGATGGAGGCCCGGCTGTTCCAGGACGAAGAAGCCGATGGGTTTGATATCGCCTTTCACTTCCTTTGAGGCTCTCTACCAAATCAAATACGAGTATCGCCGACCTTGAATCCCATGGCCTTGGGTCTGGAAACAGATCACGCTCCTTGGTCACAAACATGCTGCTCTGCTCCGGATATGACCGACGACCAGCGTTCTCACAAAGCTGCATGAACCTTGACGGCCCGGCGTCCAAAAGAGAGTGGTGATCGGGCATACGCAACCGACCAGCACTTCCCTTCACTGTCTACCTAGGCAGACCTTGGAACTGGGAATGTCATCATCCTACGTCCTGTGTCGCAAGCTCTTCTGATAAAGCAACGCAAAGACGTCGTTCGCTGATCTTGCTGGCAGTGCACCCTCCTTCGCTTCTGATATCTTGTGCACTTCTGGCACGTCTGGCTGCAGGCTTTTTGCGCCAGGGACCCAGGTGCTGCCAGGCAGTCTTTTGCCATCGTTCAGTCTCCACCGTGACGTTGACCTGTTCGTTGATCGATCCCGGCGATGCCAGTCGATTGGACCATTCGAAGTTCAAGTGGAGGCGTCGATTTGATATTCTGTAATATGTTCGTTTATCGGTCATACTGTCTGGCCAGAACTGTTCCGGTTGGCGCTGGTTCAGACCCAAAATGAGAACAAAGATTGAAAGCGATAGGAGACGATGTGGTCAGTGCGCTTCGTTAATGGTGGTTTTTTACCCCTTACACCCATGACCCCGTCTGTACGTAACGGAATGACTTGCAGGCTGGAGGTGCACCGGCAGGCAAGCAGCCCAGCCTAACTTGGCCTTATCTTATCGTGGTTGCTACGGGAACTCGGTTGATCGCCTTGCTTCTTCCAATTCCCCTTGTAAACACTTTTCCCAAAGCTGACTGGTTGGACGACATTTGCTTCGCCGTGTCCGGGATGATGACTTGCAGTTGAGGCTCGCCAATCTGTCGTCCACGCCCTTGTCAATCTGTCAATATCGGTCACGCCAGCCCACCAGAACGCGAGAAACAAGCGCGACTAGGCAGACCACTTTGAAATACGGACCGTGAATTCAAGTCAACAACCCCTCCATCATCACCCTTCGTCTCTCGAATGCGGCGCAACATCCCTTCCCATTACACAACCTAAATCCGCACATTCCACCGCGGACAACATGGACGCCCAACAAACGTCACACAGCCTTTTCGAGGTTTACCTTCGTCTGCGCCCAACCAACACCGTATCGACCTCTGGCGATCGCTTCCTCGACGTTGATGCCCCAGAACCAGGCGAGAGCGCACCGAAGCACATCACTCTGAATCCGCCAGCCGATCGGCGGCGCGCAGTCGAAAAGTTCGCTTTTACTCAGGTCTTTGAGGAGGATGCCACACAGCTCGATGTTTTCCACTGTACGGGAGTTGCCAGCCTCGTCGAGGGTGTGCTTGCTCCCTATGGCGATGGAACGGATGCCTTGTTGGCGACGCTGGGAGTGACGGGGTCTGGAAAGGTTCGTCCAGCACAACGAGACCGCAGACTGAGAGAAGTGATACTGACGATAGTATATCACTGCAGACACACACCATGCTGGGAACACGCACCCAGCGCGGCCTCACCCAAATGTCTCTCGACCTTATCTACCGTTCGCTCGGCCACCGCGTCCTTGATCCCTCTACATACCCAAACCTCGACCAGTCCCTCAACGCATCCGATCCGTCAGAAGCCAGCATACTTCCAGCCACGGCCTACCTCGAGTCGGTCTATAGCACAGATCCAACGACATCCTTCCTGCGCGGAAGCGGCAATGGCCGATCGACACCTCTACAAGTACGACCTTCCGCTTCTCTCTCTTCTCGATTTCCAACCGACAAGCCTATTTGTCGGACCTCTTCTACTTCCTCTGTCGCGCACCAGTTCGGCGCAAGAACACCAGCTGGACCCTTTCAACAAGCCCAGCGGTCGGCAAGTATCCGACTAGTCGTTCCCGAGGAACCAGAACAAGAAGAACAAGAAGAGTCAACTGTGTTCTTCACGCCTCCTAGTCGAGCTGGGACTGTAACTCCCACACAGAAAACAACAAGCAGGCTTCCGTGCCCAAGTCCAAGCGGACTTGTTTACAAGCCCAGCAACTCCCCTTCTCCCCAACGAGGTAGTCGACTTCCAGCCTACCAACCCCAGCGGGTTGGCACTTCTCCTACTAAGCTACAGCAGCAGCGCCTCCGGCCTGTTGCCTCTGCTACACTTCCACGCTTCACAGCTACCTCTTCCCTTCGTTTTGCGACTACCACAGCAGCAACTAAACCCTCTAACCTTCACCAACAGAACGATTCGTCCACTCCACGCCGCTTCCGCCCTTCCGCCCTCCCCCAGAACCCGGACATCACCCATTTAACGGTCCCCTGCGACAAGTCAGCCGAGTACGCCATCGTCATCTCCATGTACGAAGTCTACAACGACCGCATCTTCGATCTCCTTTCTCCACCCGTAAAATCGGCCGCCACCAAAGAATACCGTCGCCGACCATTGCTGTTCAAACCCACCGAGCTCTCGCCCGAGCGAAAGGTGGTAGCGGGACTACGAAAGGTGGTTTGCGGAAGCCTCGATCAGGCATTGATGGTCTTGGAAGCGGGTTTGCAAGAGCGAAGGGTAGCAGGGACGGAGAGTAATACGCAGAGTTCGCGGAGTCACGGGTTTTTCGTGGTGGAAGTGAAAAAGAGGTTTTCGCTTGGTGGGCAGCACACAGGATGGTATGGAGGCGCAGGATGGGCGGGGAATTCGCTGTCGATCGTGGATCTTGCGGGCAGTGAGAGGGCCAGAGACGCAAAGACGGTCGGACATACATTGGCGGAGGCGGGCAAGATCAACGAGAGCTTGATGTATCTGGGGCAGTGTTTGCAGATGCAGGTGGCAGGTGGGAAGGAAAAGGTATGTCCTCGTCCGAAGCGCTTGATGGAAAGGGGTGCTAACAACAAACAGCCAAACCTAGGTCTAATTCGCCGGTGCAAACTGACCGAGCTGCTGTTCACCAACTCGTTCCCCACGGGCAACAACCAGCAGCAGCATCGAAACCCCCAGAAAGGCATAATGATAGTCACCGCTGACCCCCACGGCGATTTCAACGCGACCTCTCAAATCCTTCGCTACTCCGCCCTAGCAAAGGAGGTCACCGTCCCTCGCCAGCCGCCCTCGTTCCCTCCCTCCAACTCCTTCTCCAACTCTTTACCGCCTATCGGCAGCCCAAATCATCAATACCTCTCCTTCCAACAAACTCTCGAATCCGCCGCCCTCGAGATATCCAGGCTACAAGAAGACCTGACCTACCTCCGGCACGCCCTCGACTCGGAACGCAGCCTACGCGAACAGGCCGAAGCGCATTTGTTGAGCATGGAAGACAAAATGGTCGAACTGGAGCAGGCGATACGCGAAGATTGCGCGGAAGAGTTTGAGAAGAGGTTAGAATTGGAGGTGAACAGGTGGAAGACGATTGTAGATGGGGAGAGGGAGAGGGGGGAAGAGTTTTGGAGGGGGAAGTGGGGTGTTTTCGAGCGGATGGTTGAGGCTGATGGGGATGTCGACATGGATATGGATGTTGACAGCCCGAAGAAGCCAGAAGTGGGAATGATGGGGCATGAGGACACGACGCTGGTGGAAACGAGAACAGCGGAAGCAGCTGCGGAAAACAGAGAGGTCCGACGACGGCTGGAAATCCTTGCCGACGAAAACGAGCGGTTAGAGAGGGAGAACCAATCGCTAAAACAGGCTTTGGCGGCTTGTATTGATCCCGCCAAGTCAACCAGCAAGAACAAGTCGCCGAGTCGGAGGTCACCCAGTCGCAGTCGGAGGAAGAAGGCTCAGCTGAACTATGCGGAGGATGATGATGGGTTCTTTCAGGAGTTGAAGAGGGATCAGCACAAGGAAGAGGATATGGCCATGGATGGGTTTGGCGAAGGGAATGGAGTCAGCGGTAGTCACGGGACTGGAAGTCCGACGAAGAAGAAGAGGATCAGGAGGTTGGGAGCAAAGAAATGGGGGCAGGGGTTGGATGATGATGATCCTTTCTAGATGATATCCGGAAGGGAACGGCAACTGAACATCATGGTGTTTTCTGGACGGTTAAAGTACCTTTCGTGTCGATTCATTGTACGATTCCGGTACATATAGTGGTTTCAGGAAGCGTGTCGGGTTATTAAGGGAAAGGGAATTTCATGGGTGACATCTGTTTATACCCTCTTCTTTGTTTGAGTCTTGTTTCGATACTCACATAGCATAACACTACTGACAGAGATCAACATCAGTGTTGTCGCCGTCAAGGACCTTCGTTTTCTGATGGGCCATTCATGTTCTTGCCTGGCGTTTCTGGCTATAGCGACGCTCTTCTGTCTTCTCTTTGGCTTCAACCGGTAGCAGGCCTGCGACGTGGTATTAATAGGGGCATCCCGCCGCTCGTCAAGGTATTCTAACTCCCTTTAACCCCTTAGTTGCCCAAAACATGTCAACATCCGAATGTCATCGTCTGGGGACTGGGCCTCGTCATTGCGGCTACTGTCATCATCCCTGTAGGCATTGCGAAGGCCGGTTTATGTGTCAAGGACGACTTTTGACTATTCGGGATCTCAGTGCGATCCACCTTGTACCAAAAGACTCGCAGGCCAACACCTATTGTCATTATACAAATAACACCTCCTCGCTACGAAGAACTCATCGTCCTCCTATTTCTACCATCTTGAACCGGGACGACAACACCGATACGAACACCAAACCCAAGCCGGAACGCCAGAACAATACTGTTACCTCCACCGAAGAGAGGCAAGACTACACCCTCCTTTTCGCCCTCTTCTTCGCCATCCTCTTCATCTTCTGCGGTGCCACCCCAGCACCAGCACCAGCACCAGCACCAAAACCAGCCTTGACACCAGCACCAGCACTAGCACTAACAACTCCAATCGCCCCTCCAAACCCTACCACTCCCACAAGGTTTACCTTGATTCCCTGTACGCCGTGAGCCAATGTAACCACGACGCTTCAAAGCTCAAACTGCGAGGTGGAACGCGCCTTGGTCTGCCTTAACAAAAGACAGGGAGCCCAGAAGTGAGAAGGAGAGGAGGGATTTGGAACAGGTGGAGCGCATGTTGTTGGTGTCGAGGAAGGGGGTGTATGATACGTGGTTGGTGAGGAGGTTGGAGGTGATGAGGGTGGGGAGAGGGAGGGGAGATGGGAGGTGGGGGGTGGGGATTCGGGGCGAGGGGGGGTGGTGAGGACGGTGTGTGAGGGATTGAGTGAGAGGTTGAAGGTTATCTGCTGGTGCATGCGGGTGTTGTAGGGTCTGGGGATCTGTTTGGACCTCCGTCTCGGAGCCTATCTCGTCTTTTCGGTGTTACTGTTATGGTCTATGTCAGGCGTTCAGGACACTCTGCGAAGGCATGGATGGGAGTCACGGGATGCCATGCCCCTGGTAAAAATGGAAGGCTTGCTGGAACGTCCGGTGCGCTGCTCATAACCCGTACTGATATCATTTCCTAGGGCGACATGTGCTGATCCTTTTGCTGATGTTTCTCATACCTGTATATCGTTGATCCCGCACACATGTAATGCATCACAATGCTCCGGACAAACTTATGGAGATTGTTTACTTACATGTCTCGGTCGTGGTAGCTCGCTCGTATCGAAATTACGCCTGGAGCAGAGTTTGTAACCCACCATTGTAGGTAGAGTTGTCCTAACGGGACTGGAAGGAGCGATGCTTGGAAGGAGGGGCGAGGATGGGTTGGAACTTCTGCTTCTCATTTGCCCCTGGGGATCGCACATATTTCAAGTTTTTCCCCGAACATGTTCGTACGCAGGAAGAAAGTCTCCCATGCCCTCTCCCGCTGCTTGCACACATCCACGTTTTCGAAATACTCTTTTGGCGCACAGCAGTCATCCCATTTCTCCGCCTTCTTCTGCCGCGATCTTGTCGAGTCATCTACCCATGTCCCCTCCCCGTCCTCTGCAGTTTGCATATGGATTCGGTGTCCGTCTGCATCTCTCGATCCGGACTGCCGAGATAACGGACAACGCAATGGTGCAGCTCTCGGACTTGATAAAGGCTGCGTCGGCGACTGTACGTTCCTGCACGAGAAACTCCGCCACTTCCTGTGTGTCTTTTATTTATTTTTGCCCGGAAATTGATTTGGACAGATGTCCACAAGAGTTTAAATACCCTCCCTAGGTAGCTGGCCATTTCTTTTTTGTCTCTTCTTCATTCCCTCCACACCTTACTCTATCTTCTCTCTCCAGTCATCACATCTCCTTGGCTCTACCACGTAACAGCCAGAACAACCCAAATCACAGTCACAACCTACTTCTCCAATCCGTAAGCAGGTCGTCGTCCATATTTTTCACTCGGTTGCCAAATTTCTTTTCCAGCTCCCGACTTGCTAACACAAAGCAACCCACAGAAACCCGAACAAGCCTCGCCATGACATTAAGTCATAACCAACCGGATCAGCCCCCGATGGCTTCCCTCATCGACATCGGCGAGTACGTAATGCCGGATATCCAACATCCCGATGAATCGGACGGAATGTGCTCGATCAAAACGACCCCTATCTCTGGGTCTGAATATGGCGGTGACGACCAAAAGGAGCCTCTCATGCCTAAGGAGTCTTTGCCAACCACCAAGGCGTCCGTCTCTGAAGCCCATGCAGGCACTCAAAGCAATCTTGTCCCTTCAAACAAGGTATGTCTCGGAACAAAGTCTCGACCACACGGCACTTGCGCTAAACTTGTTATTATAGGTTATTATCGCTGAACGCCCTTTCGACGCACGGAATTCATTGGAGCTTAGTTTCTCATACGGCGATATTCTGCATGTCATCGGTCGTAAGAATGACCAGTGGTACAAGGCGTTCAACCCTGCACAACCAGACGTTCGTGGTCTCGTGCCTGTCGCATATTTCCGAGACGTTGATTTCTGGGATACAAAGCTGTGGGGTACAAGGCTGGGTGAGATAGTGTTTGTGGGGTCTATTCTGTCTTCTTTCCTTTTTGGGGTTTTCGGGCCTTTCATCCCCTTTGGTGGGCTTTTCTTTCTGGATTGGCGGTCGTCTGTTGAGCCTACCACTCCATGCACCTCGTCGTCTTCCTGCGCGAACAAAGTCCAGATTCCTCTTTGCGGCCCCACCAAGCCCTACCAGCCGTACCATCTCCTTCCAGCCTATAACCAGACCGCCTACGGCATTCTCGACTGCAACCACAACGCCACCCATGCCGAACTGTGGCTATCCTTCTTCGACAAGTCCACCGCAGCCACCCTTGTCCACTTTCACGACAGGGGCGGAATGCCTAACGAAATCGACTGCCGGCCCTGGAAGCGTCCGATGTTGAGGTACACCGAGGCATCAGGGCTGAACGAATTCACCCCAGAGGAGTGGGCTATCCAGTACTTGTTCCTGAAGGAGGACCGTTCCGTGGCCGACTTCGTGATTCTCCCCAGCTTGGGTATCGATACACCGGGTCCGATCTCGTGCCACAACGATGAGACAAGTCTCCGTAGACGGTCTCACCAGTATATTGTTCAGATGGAGGTGGTCAGGCAGCAGATTGCGAGGAAGAGGCAGCTGGAGATTAAGGAGCTAGAGGACAAGAAGAAGAAGTCGGAGACAACCAGGAAGCCATCCGGATTTTTTTGATGTGGGGAACGTATCGATTTGAGTTGAGGCACCATTGACAAGCAGTTGGCGGAGAGAAGTAAGCCCGAGGAGACAAGGAACATGGAACAGGTGGACGAACAGATGATCGAAGAAGACTGATTTCCGAGATCTCCGACCTTTCCTCTTCCGGCTATGGGGTGATATGGCTTCGTCTTGGATCTTCCAGAAGGCACCCTTCAATGCTTATGTTCTTCTGCTGAGACGGATGGCGCGATGCCTTGATTGGGGTATTTGTTCTTGAGTGTTCAACCATGTTGATGGTATTCTACCGTGCTTCCAGGAAATCGGGGAAGCAGGATGGCGTTAATGTCTCAGGTCACCTTACGCTAGATTTAGTGCACTTTTATGTGCGTAGTAATGATAATGCTTTTTTCACCATGTGTATCTCTCCCGCTGTCGTAGGTATGTTCCTCTATCGAGACTGGACCATCAACGCTTTAGACGGGGGAAAGAACTCCCGGAAGAGTAAACCCTGTCCTGTCCCTGCCCCGTCGCCGGCTTCGGGCAAGAATATCTATCCTTAGACTACGTTTATTCTAGTACGGTTTTCGTACAAAAAGCCTCATACGACCTTTTTCATACTCAAAAAGGTGGCCAATTCACTGGCTGTCCCAAGTTGAGTTGTAACTCGCCTCGGGGGTCTCGAATTGAGTTTAGTTGGGTTGAGTTAAGTCGAGTTGGTTGAGTAAGTTGAGTTATTCTAAGCGCTGTACGAAAACCGTACGAGAACAAACGCAGCCTTATAGGCACTAATCTGTTGAATTTATTTCTCATTTGTAGAGCTGATTTATTATGAGACTTTTGTAACGTCCATATTGCTGCTTCCTGGAATCAATGCCGGCGTTTTGTGTGCTTGTGGTGTTGTTGTCACTGGAGTGGACGAGAGACAGATTAGGAAAGAGGGATCTGTTGCAAATGCTCGGCTTAGATGGTGCACTATCTGTAACGCTCCAAAAGTCGGGTTGATTGAGATAGTAGGGTAACAGAGGTGAAGTGTCAGGATGTCCGCTGAATGGCCGCTACAGGGCCGGCGTACTGGTATAACAAATCTCATTACCTGTACCTTGAGAACAGTGTATCTTTCCAACATGGAAGTCTGGCAGTCATGCCGCCGTAGGATCGGACTGGTCCCTCGGATAAATACGGCATCCAACACACGCCAAGACCGGGAAATAGAACATGACAATTATAGAAACGCAGTCTAGGCCTTTGATAGCTTGCTTTCAATGTTGAGTTCGTGAACCAAGATCATACCATGTCTCGTAAGCAGATGATTGATGTAGTTGTGATGGAATTCACGTTTGAAATCACTTCATGACGTGCAACGTATAGAATAACGTGAAATACATTCTCAACCAAATCACCACTGCTATGTGACCTTTGGCATGCCTTGAGTTGAGCGAGGCCGACCTCTGGCCTTTCTCTTCGGTATCGCTCCCAGCGCCGCCCCGCCGCCGTTTCGCGTCTGTAATCTACTAACACCCACCACCACTCTCTTATCGACTCTTGGACGCAGTGTTTCCAGTCGATCGGCACGCGAACCCAATGCTGCGTCTCTGAGAGATATGCGCTTGGACTGCCGACGGGGTCGGGAATCGGTGGTGACCGCCTCGGACCTGGGTCCGGGACGCCGCGTGGAGCAGCCGCACTGCCATCTGTGTCGTGAATCCCCCCCCGTGCCTTCGATCTTTTCCTACTTCTTGTCCCCGGACCATCGCCCTCGCCGGCTGCCATGTTCTCCGTCTTGAACTGCGGTTCCATGGTGTCCTCGTTTGCCGGGAACTTGCGTTTCTTGCTTCGTGTTGTGCGTGCGTTGTCGCTCCCACTGGCCACCGTCTTCTCCGTCTCATCCGTCCGCCGCTGTTTTCCGACCCGGGCCTCGAGGACATCATTTGTTGTCCGCTTCCTTTTCCTGCTTCCTGTTCCCCCGGAGCCGCTGCCCTTGCCCGCCGCCTTCTGCTCTGCCTCAATCTTGCTTATTTCAGATAGGACCCACTCAACCCTGCGCTGCTGATGATCTGCTTTTGCCTTGGCCCTCCGGTATTTCTTCGTATTGTCGAGGTACTCGTCCACGAGCTTGTTCCTCCGAGTGATATCGTCGAGGTGAATCTGGGCCGATTGTAGGCTTTCCGGCGTGTGAGCTGCCGTGAACGAGCGCACTCGTGCTGCAAATGCGGCCTCGTGGAACTCGCGGAGTCGCATGGCCTTGGCCTCCGTACTTGCCAGATCATCGCACGTATCGAGAGGCCCCACCACCCCTGCCTTGACGAGTTTCTCCCACTCGGCGTCATGCTGTGGTCGTAGTTTCCGGACAAATGGAGTGAGCTCGTCGAGGAAGAAGCATTCGAAGGCAAGATACTCGACAAATGTCGTCCACTGGTCCTGCTGCTTTGGGTCTGCCTGCAGCTGGAAGGGCTGGACGAACCCGTAGTCCATGACCAGTCTGCTTGCCTCCGCAGCATATCTGGACAAGACAGCTTCTGCATCATCGTCGTCGCGCTGCGGTCGACCACGGCCCCCGTGCCACTCGTTCTCCCACTTACGGCGCGTCGACTGCTCGAAATTCGGCTTGGCTATGACCTTGTACTCCCCCATCATTTCAAGCTCGCGCCGCTTGTCATCGAGATATTCGGAGAACCCGACAGTCTGCCGCCTGTTGACCAGTTGCCAAGCGCGATATTCCTTCCAGCGGCGCAGCTGTCTGAAGAACACCCAATTGTGCGGATTCGGTGTGTCGGGATATTCCGCCCACGGTCGCAACATATCGCGATATGCGTCCGGATCTGTCGAGACTTGCGGTAGGAGACTGAGGGGGAAGAGCGGCCTGCAACCGTCATCGAGGAGGGCTTGGTAGCACCTGGCCTGGTACTCCTCGTCTTCGAGAGGCGGGACAGTCGAGGACCTGGAGGAGAGTACTCGGGCCAGCAGTGTAGCGAGTTGGAGGGGGTCAACAGAGGGTGCGACGGTTTTCTGGACGGCCGTCCTGAATGGGTGTCAGTTACGATTTGGATTGATATTGCGAACTGCGGATTGCCATCGACTCTCAGCAGCCGCTCGGCAAGTCGGTCCCTCGTGGCTTGGGAGACATCTGTCCAGTCCGAGATGTTCGAGATACGCAGAGCGCCGTCTTGGTCGGTGAGATTGTCCTTCACAAACAGGGCGAGGTCATGCTGGTTGAGACCAAGAAATTGGTCAACTGAAAGCGGCACTTTGTCATCAACTGAAAGCGACTCTTGGTCAACTGAAGGCGGCTCTTGGTCATCAACTGAAAGCGGCTCTTGGTCAACTGAAAGCGGCTCCATCATGGCCTTGGTTTGTTCGAGCGCGCTGGGTGCTGTCGCTAGGATGATGTTGTCGTGGTGTCGCACGCGTTTTAAATGTCGAAGAGCATCGGCGAGCTGTGGGTGCCAAGTCGTGTTGGGGGGGATAGGAGTTTATCAGTGCTCTGTAGGATTGGATCCATCCCTTAAACGGTGTAGTGTAGCTGTGTTATTTCGGCGCGTCCCACAAGTACCAGCAGTACCTAGCGCTTTGGCTTGAAAGCTAAGGAATCTGCCGATACTGGTTGCGAACGCTAACAGTATCCGAGCTTTTGAAGTAGCATCATGCGTCAAGTGGTATCTGCAGGCAATCGGGACAATTGATTGGCCACAACCTCACATTCCGTTTGAAGGGATGGATGACCGTTGTACCCTGGGCTTCTGTGCAAGGACCTCTCCTGTCGGCTACAGCCCCACCGCAGCTAGCACCCCGCTATTAAGGCTATAGCGCCTTCCTCCCACAAGGTATTTTGATAGATCCCCTCAAACCACAATTTTAAAGAGGGCATCTTTACCCAGTACATCGAACCCAGGTTCTTGCTACACAGCTCCAGTCCTCACAGCCGCCAAGATGCACAGTACCTCTTGTCTATATGTATGAATATCTAATTTACATCATGTTTTTATACACTATATAGATGCAAGGTATGGCTGTCCGTCTCGAGCTCTTACCAAAAGTGTAAGTAACTACACCATCATGATCAATTCATATCAAACAAAATTCGTCGCTCTATATACAATCCCACGGTCAAAACCAACAAGGAATCTCAGACACAATTAGTCGATCCGGCTATCCCCCGCGACAGACTTGTTCCGTTTCGCCGTCCTGTTCTCTGACGTGCCACCGGACACTAATGGGCTCCTAGATGTTCGTGTCAGCTTCAATGCTTGGTCCTTCCAGCTCGGGTCACCAGCCTCCCGTACGGTACTTACCTGGTAGTCCTCGGTCTCTTAAAGGAGGGCGCGGCATCAGCCTCATTGCCTCTGCGTGTGTCTGTCCTCTCCGCCACCTCCGCTCTATCCCCCATATCCTTGACAGCATCGGAGGGTGGCGTAGCCTCCAGATGTATTTCGGGAGGCGCTGCAAGCCCCAAGACGGACCTGGGCGACCCTTGGACTTCTCCGTCCTGCGGCTTGGTTGTGATTGTCGAAGCCGAGCTAGACCCTCCGCTGTCGCTGCAGCCTCCGTCCGAGCCATAGCCAAAGCTGGACCTATTGAAGAGGTTGTCCTCGGGATTTTCAAGCTTGGAAAGGAGCTGCTCGATATGTACTGTGGTCGCCTTGGGGGACGGGGCGTTCGTGGAACGGACATGTCGTCCAGGATTGCTGATAATGTCTCTTTCCAGCGTCGAGTCCCTGAGTCCTGGATCGCCCGTTTTCGGCTCCGTGGTTTCGCTGTCGGCCTTCCGGGCCTCACCCAGACGGATCGTGGACGCCTCATTCTCGGAATTGTCCGGGCTGTAGCTATTACTTACTGCACCATTGCTTTCTTCATCGGTATGGTTGAGTAAGAGTAAGGTATTATTGAGGCAGTCCGTGGCCGTCTTTCGGGCGTCGGGCCGTAGACAGAGCATCGAGTCCAGGAGGAATGACAGTAGGTCATCTCCCTGTACCTGTAGCCCACTCATTCTTTTCACCCACAGGCGGACACGATTGCACCACTCCACTCCCCGCCTGCCGTATTGTGGAAGTCCACACACGAGCTCAGCAAGCACGACGCCCAGCGACCACACGTCGACAAGGGCCGTATAAGCCGCCCCTTCGTCTCGCATAATAGTAGCACTTGCTTCGTAGACCTCGGGTGCCAAATAGAGGCAGGTGCCGCAAATGGTCTTGAGGACGTCTCCCTCGCGGGATAGACCAAAGTCTGCGAACTTGACAAAGATGGCGTCGGGGCGGCGATACATGACCAGGATATTGGTCGGCTTGACGTCTCTGTGCACGATCTGCGGGTCGAGCGTATGGAGGTAGGCGAGAGCTTCCAGCGTCTGCGCGAGGATCTGCTTGCATTCGTAGCGGGAGAAGCCACGGCCGGCTTGGAGGTGGTCGCCAACAGATTCGTCGGGCACGTATTCGAGGTGCAAACACGGCGTCGGCCCCGGACTGTAGTTTAGCAAGGAAACGATGTGCCTCTAGTAGGAGCAAGTTAGCAGAGCTGCCCTCGGGCGCGTTGTTGTGACGCACTGGATTGGACTAACGTGGTCGATCCGACGTAGGATGAGGGCTTCTCTTTCCCACGCAGCGGCGTCGAACGACCTGTTAACTGGTCTCTTGAGCGCGTACTGCTCTCCGGTGCTGACGTTCCAAACGCGATAGACAACCGCGAAACTCCCTCGGCCAAGCTCCTTCTCCAACGTTACAGGCGCGGTAGGTTTTAAAGCCGGCGTCTGCACGCCGGAGGGGACTTCGGTCCCACGCCGGCTCAAAATGCCGATTTGGTCAAGGTCGAGGAGAGGATCGGCGTCCGCCGTCCCGGCGAGGAATCTGTCGACCTTGTCCCTGTAGGACCTGGATTGAACGTCGTGCTGTGGCACGACGAGCTGGAACTGTAGGGACGGAGATACCTTGACGATGATAGGGCTTTTGTCCTTTAGAAAGTCGCTCCCTCCAACGATCCAGCGGAACGAGGACCACCGACCGCGCTCCACCCCTTCATACACGACCGTGGTGCCGCGCGTAGAACCCAGGTCCTGGACGACGAGACAGTAATCCTGATTGAATGTGAGAGCGAAGTGGTAGAAGCTAACGCCCTTGAGGGGCGTGAGACGGAGCTCAGCATCCTCGCTCCGTCCACACCTCAAGCCAACGCGAGTCTTAGGTATATGGGCGAAAGTCACCCTAATACAAGCCTCTAATTCAAGAGGGTCGCGCTCCTCCGCTTCCTCCGTCGGCTCTCGGTCGAGCCTGTTGAATATATTGGGTGGTCCCGAGTGGACTGCCGCCGAAGCGTATTTCGGCACCTCCGGGCGACAGTATCTTGGAGGACGGTAGCCCGGGTTCTCCTTATTCTCGTCGATAGTATCTTTTGCCCCTTCGTATCCCTGGCTGCTACCGCCGGGTAGATGTAAGCTATAACGTCATCGTCGCCGCCGTTGTCCATTACGAAGAGCAAGAGAGTGAGGAGGAGGGAATAGGGTCGTTGGATGGCTAAGGAGGGTGCGCGAATGATGGAGGAACAGGACGAATGTATCTACACTTGGCACCTTTATCGGCATACATATATATCAGGGAGCAGGAATCTGACGACCTAGGCCGCAATGGGAATTAGAGTATTCTTTAGCATTGATATCACAATGTGCTTGGGTACCGCTTTTTTTCACTCGATGTGGTTTTACTCAACCTGTGCTAAGATCCGGACTAGCAAAGCCTAACACGGGGATACAGGTGATACTGGAAATCCCACTAATGTCTGTGACTGAATGGTTCCAAGGAATTATGTGGCTGCGTTGGCAAGCCTGCGATGGATTGTGACTCGCATTAACTCAGTAATAGATTGGTTGAACTTCTTGTTAGACTTTGCTTCTGTCAGATGGTCCCGGCCCTATACCTGTTTGAGCAAAATCAAATCGAGTGAGAATTACCGGTAGCCAACTGGATGCGATTCACGCCAGCAGTCCCGCCTACAAGGTAGCTATCTTAAAAGGGCTAGGGACCTGCGTAGTACTTGAGCAGTACTTATCAGCTTATCTAACATAATATAGAGGTACTGTGTACACTGCATCGGCCCAATTATTGGCGGGGCCGTTCCTAGTTCTGCGGACCGTACACGTGTACAACACCAGACAGCTCCGCCCAGTAGGTCGACCCGCACAGATCATCCCGGCTTCCCAAATGCGGGCCGCGGCCGGCACCTAGCGCGCAGAGCAATCGTCTGGAACAAATTCTCTGCCGTTGAACTACAACGAGCACAGACGGACCACAGACTCATCAAACGACCTCAGTCATATACCAAAGGACTGTTTACCCACTCTCATGACAGAAGCTGACGCGGCGGAGGACCCGGCAGTGTCGGCAGAGACCTTGGTACGCAGACTCTCGTCCTCCCCCCCAACTAAAAACTCTCAGAGGTCTGACTCCGATGAGGTGTGCAGCGGCAGCGCTGGACGAGTCTGACCCAAGACAAGGATTTCTTCAATAATGTCGACTGGCAGCCGATCGACTTCATACCGTCCGTCGGGTACGAGAGGAAGATCTGCTTCCTGGGGTGCGAGAGCCTCGCCTTCCAGAATCCCAGCGGCAAGGCCATCTGGACAACCAAAGGCGATGGGGAGATGATCGTCCCCGCGAACGTGGGAGTCTACCTGATCCGGGGGAAGTGGAAGTGTGCTGCTGCAATGCCGTTGTCGTCGTTGTTAGCTTGAATGTCGCTCGCGTTTGGGATTGCGAAGAGTCGCTGCGCGATCCGGAGCCCTCGTAGGAATTCGAGACGGAGACGCAGGGTACCGTAGCGTGGCTCGTGGGTCGCATGTACTTCTATCATAATGCAGTCCGTTGTGTCGGCCAGCCCGGCCGTGTCTCTCTCCCACGTCCGTAGCCGGCTCGTGTCGATTGCTTCATAGAGCTGCGAGCCGAATATCAAGGCGGCAGCCGCGCAACACGCCCTTTGGAGGCTGCAAGGGCCGTCGCTGCCTGCATACGGTCAGTGAACCCCGCTGCCACGCTCGGCTATTTTACTCCTTCCAGGTATATACTTACTATTATAGCCCGACTCTTGTATCCGGCAACCCGCGGGGAACAAGACCTTCTCGAAAAGGTCGACGTCCCCGATATCCAGCCACAGGATGCAATCCTCCTTATCTACGGAAGGAAAGTCCATCCGTACTAATCCGGTCGTCGTCCGAATCGAAAACTGGTCATTCCCACATCTAGCTGGAGCTTTGCAAATAGCCTCGAAAACACCGACGGCAAACTGGCTGCGGACGACTTCCAAAGGCGCCCCGTTAAAGCGCCATGGTTTGGGGCCGTCGGCTGTGGTGGTAGGGCTTTCTACGGCCATCGCCGTTCTCGGTATTGCAGGGAAGAGGGCTTGGATCAGCTTCTGGAAGGCTATGCTGCCCCTGATCCTATGCCGCCTGGCGATGTCCTCAAGGATGACCTTGTCCGCGTCACCGAGGCGAATCTTGGCTCTCTGCTCATGGTGTTGACGAAAGAGTTCCAGGTTGTATTTGACGCAAGCCGTATTCGTGTTGACGATCAGCAGGAAAGGTATGAAGATCTGAGGATCCTCATCCAACACATCGAGGTAGAGTTTGTGCGCTCTCTTTTCGGCATGGCGTGTCCTGATTTCTCTTGTCGATCGAACCTCTTCGCCTCTGTCCTGGCGCTTGAATTCACTGCACGCAATGACTAGACGATGCTCCAATAGGTTGCGGTACGTGGTTGGGATTGAATCTAGTTGGTTGATTCGATCCCGGAGTTTGTACATACAGGCCAGCCGATGAGGTGCCATGGCAATCAATGGCCGAACCAATACGATCAAGATGACAGCAGATGAGGGAGGGTAGAGGAAGGCAGAGGAAGGCAGATGAAAAAGTGGATAGGACTTTTGTAGTGTTTACCGCTTTGTCTCATCCACTACCGCTTATTCTCATTCAAACCGGATTTATCTAACCTCCTTGTAGTTTAGTGCAGCCAGGTGGGCACCTGCAACCAGGGTAATCAACGTGGCCGTACAAGGGGGTTCGAATGGTTTACAGGGGAAAAAAAAGTGGCCTCCCCTGCTGGAGTGGCTGCTTGGCAAAAGAGGGAACTCACCTTGGGGTCGGTCGGGTTTTTGATGTTGAACCCGCGACGGGAATCTTGATGGCGGTGAGCTTGAACACGTCGCTAGACTTGACGCTTGCTTCTTTGATGAAAGACTGCATCGCGATCGATAGTCTTGGTGTTGTTTGATTGATTCTGGTTGATCTGTTGATTCTGGTGGTTTGAGGGCACGAGTTAGAGTCGAGAAAGGTGGTTGTTTGAGGAAGGAGGAAGGAGGTGGGGTGGCTGGGCGAGATTCTCAAAGATTACTGGCACGGGGCACACGGCTGGCAGGGGAGTCTGCAGGTGGCTGGCAGGGTTGAAAAGTGGGTTAAAGTGGGCTTGTCGGCCCGGCTATACTATGATGGGTTTAGCGGGGCAGGGGGGGATAAATCCGGTTTGAATGAAAAAAAGCGGTAGTCCTACTCAAGTTTAGGAGCTGTACTGTCCTGCCATCCGCTGCGAGTCACCCGCATGCTGGAACTTGCCAGTCGTCTTGAGTGGTCTCGCTAAGTCTGTCAGCCCCATCTGCTACGTTGGCGCTCCGGCATGCAGGTCCTTTCCCCGATCTACTAAACCGTATGTGGGAAGGATAAATCCGACTTAAATCCCTTTAACGCCACAAATATATCATTTTTAGCGTAGCATATGTTATTATCACGGGGCAAGGCGAAGGTTAGGGGGTAGGTTTTCTCTTTTGTAAACCCGCTTGCTTGGATGGAACTTTGTCTGCAAATTGTCGAATCCCTATCGTGTAGCATGGTTATTGTCGCACCTTTCCCTATGCATTGCCCGGTCAGTAGTCCCAACATGCGATTCGACTCAAAATAGAATGATGTTACCCAATCGTGGTATATGTCTGCACCCACCCTTGGGTAAGGTCGAGTGCGGACGTGAGTTGAAGGTCTGTTTAACGTGATGCCGGGCAACAGGTGTTCTGAAAAGGGCTCGCGCAAGGGTATCACCATCCGGGAAGATCTCCAACTCGATCTCAGCCTCCCCCTCTTCGGCATCCTGTTCGTCTCCCCCCTTCTTGCTGCGCCGCCCTTGTGCGGTAGGTGTTCTGGCTTGGAGCTTGACTTGGAGATTGGTTTGGGGCTTTACGATAGCAGCTTTACTATCCCCGGCAAATACTGTCCTACTCCTGTAGCTGAACCAGGCGAGGAAGCTGAGGCCTCCGAGCCCAATCTTGTCGATCTGATCTTGTGTTTCTTTTGCTTGTCCGTGAAATCCTCACCCTAAACGGTCGACCAGTTTTCCTTATCCTCTTCCCGGATGGCGTTGATCAAGCCGAGTCGGCCGTTCCTCAGGTCCTTGCCTTTTTTTTTCCTCGATGCTAACAAGCTGGCTGATCAGTACATGCTGCTGGATGGAAGAGGGCAGTTCGGAAAAGACCTACCATACAGCTGGCATTGATACAAGCTGAGTTGTGGGGAAATCGCATTTACTGGTGTTCCGGGGGTCGGCGATGTTCCTGCTTGGCGGGGGCTAGAAGCTCGTCTTGAAGAATTCGTTTTGCAATGCGGTGTTGATTCCTCGCAGATCTGTTTCTGGCATCGTGCCTCTCGCAGTGGAGGGCTCGGTATTACTGTCGCGATCGTTCGTCCGTGGCTGTAGTTGCCGCTGCTTTTGCTACGAGCTTGGTAGGGATGCGGTAATTGCCATGTATGTAGGAGGCCCGACCGCCTTGACGAAGATTACACACTTTCGCGTTGTGCTTGTGTCGAGTGTCGCTGATGGAGTTTTCGCATACGTTCGATCGTGGTGTCCATCGTGGCTATAGTTGCTGCGAGCTTGCCGCTGCCGTTGCTGCCGACACAAGAAGCAGAGAGCATTGTGGTGGTCTGTGTCGGAGGTCGGGACGTTATCGTTACGTTGCGCAATGGGAAGAGGTCCCGGTTGGGTAGTGCAGGGCTGCAGGCTTGGGTTGGAGGGCTGATGAATAGCTTTTAATGGTCGGGGAGACTGGAAAGATCGTGAGTGAATGGTCTGGTATTGCTTTGGAGTTGCTCCGTACGCTCCTGTCTTGGACAGGAGGGCTGATGTAGGCTGGCGCGAAATGTATTGGAGGACACCGGCTAGTTTCGGTGACCAAATCGCTCGAGATTTCGAGTAGCGCGCTCCTAAACGTAGGTGGCAGTGTAAGTTGATGGCTACAGGTCGTGATGATCCTCGACATTGGGGAGGTCGCGGTAAGCTTGCGTTGGGGAATCGGTTGGTGTGGTTGTGGTATCGATAACTGAGCATAAAGGTTGCGCCCTACGTGTGCAAGCTCTACATTGGAGTTTGCACTCTGTATTTGTACATTGGAGTTTGCACCCGTTACTCCAAATACAAAATGAACGTTTGCGCCCACCTTTAAAACCCGCCTTCGACAGACTTGCTCTCCGTGCTGTTTAGCGTATACAAAGTTTTGCACCCTACGTATGTAAGCTCTACACTGGAGTTTGCACACTATATCTACACGTTGGAATTCGCGTCTACACGTTAATTGCCCGCGCTTTGGGTTCAGATATCAAAGGCTCAAGTTGACACTGCGCGTTTCAGGGACAGAGTTTACCTATCATAGGAATCACGCAATTGAGACATAGGAAGAAAGGGATGGATTGTTGTCTCCAAGGTACGGCATACTGTTTTATCACTTGCACTTGAATTTGGGCACACACTCTACTTTGATTCAAATTAGCTACCTAATCTTCTGTCCGCCAAGGGTTGCTGGCATCGACATGGATCGTGTCCTCGTCATCAAGGTTCAGCCGACGTGCAATGCTTCCCACTAGTTGGGCGAACGTCTTGTTGAACATGTACTGATTGATGATGGCCCGTTGACGCTCCTGTGCTCGGCGGAACTCTACACCAAATCGCGCCCCCATGTCCATAAGCATAGCTGTGTCATTCTCCAGTTCGCTGAGTAACATCTCGATGCTTAGGAGCTTCATTTCGAGCTCGCCTCTTAAGACAAAGTGCAAATACCGATTCAAGTTCTCAACGCCCTCGGTATCAGTGTGAAATCGGTCCGTGTCAGCCAATGTCCGATCCAGGTTGTTCTTAAAGTACGTTGTCTCTTCCGCGACATACAGGCCTGCCTCGTCGCTGTCTTGACCCGTTTTCGAGCCAGCCTGAACGCCGTTGAAGCCGCCCTGGGATATCAGCGAACTTGCAAGCATGGTGACCAGTCTTTCGCCCAAGGGAAGGTGTTCTCCAACCCAAACGGGTAGGATAGGCACTCCAACGGTGTAGGGCTTTAGGCCAATTTGTAGCAGCGCGCCAATGGTAAGGGCCAGAAACATATTCTTCATTGGCAAGGCGGACATCGAGGGCTCGTAACGGTGCTGCTTGAGGTGTTCAGACATTTGACCTGTTGTACACCCTACGTACAAGGGCCCTTGATGCATAAAAGCGCTCCCTGTATTGTCAAGCTTTTGGAGAGGCTTGGCTCGTCTTTGGAAGGATTCGATGAACACCTCCAGCTTGTGTATGTTTGCACTACCGAAAGTTGGGAGGTAGTGAAGTGTAGTGCCAGCTGATGCATCTTCATTGGCCTCATGTGGATATCCACAAATCTTGTCAAGTTTGTAGGCGTCTTGGATGATTTTCCCGGAGTTGGGGGGCAACTGGGAGCCTTCTTGACTGTTTGCCAGCAGGTGGTAGGCAGCCGCGTAGTTTTCAAGGATGCGGATGACTTCGGTACACTCTCGATAATTCAGAAACGCGCCTTCTTCAGCATCCTCGCGTTCCCGAAAAGCAATGCCAACAGCATATACCCCTGGATAGTTGCCGCGCTCGCCCAGCTCTTCGATACACTTGACTGAGCTTGTGGCGTAGTCATGTACCAGTGTCCCTTGAATTAAAGAGTCGTGCAGGCCAGTAGGGATGGCATGGAGGAGGATAGCGTATTCGTTTTTGCCGTCCTTGACATCATCGGCCAATGAGTTCGCCGTGCTGAGCAATACCACTGCCGTGTTTTTGATGCAGATATTCATGACATCAGGCAGACACATGCAGAGACTAAAGTTGGAGGTGTACGCTCCTGTCAGAGCCTGGATCATGAGCTTTTGCTCTGGCCCGACAAGAGGTCGTTGGGGGGTGGGATCCTCCGACAGCGTTGGCCACGTCGTCGTAAACTCGGAGTGCCCCAAGTCTCGGGTACTAACCAGCGTACTGCCCATGGTGATGATGCCTGAAGGCGCATGGAGCTGTGTGTGTGTGTGGGCGGTGTTCTCGGATATGAGGGCAAAAGATGTGAGAACGTGTGTGCTATGGAGAGAAGACTACCTCTAGAGAAGTAAGGGAAAAAAAATGTGCAGGACTAAAATACAGGAAGGGTGTGGGACCCACACGAAAAGGGAATGGAAACGGCAAACGGAGCTGGGAACCAGGTACATGCATCAACTTTGCGCCTGCAGCGAAGGATAGGGACGGGGCAGAGAAGAATGTGTAAGTGATAGTGCAGGCCACCATATACAGGCTTATAGCGGACACACGCTAACAAACTGCCATTGGACCCACTTGCATGAGCAACATGCTGTCAACTCCTGCAGTCCTCACCTTGGTCAGAGCTTTCCTCATTTTTTTCCGCGCACAACAACCCCTCCACGGCATTTGGCACCCTGACTGGACTTCATTCAACAGCAAGAGTAACAACGTCGCGCAAGACCATAGCTAATACGCCAGACCCTTTTCAAGCTGGAATTCCCCCTTGCACTAACGTGTCTTTCCAAAACAGAACCATGGTAGAGCAAGGCGGAGGCAGAGCCCCGCATGACCACCACTCGGCGCCCGCACTCAAGAGAAAAAGAGGTCCCAGCGACTATGCTGCTGCGCACCACACCCATGACGAGACGCAAGAGCAGACTCAAATCGAGCGGCTGCCATTCGAAGGGGGCTTGCTAAGCCAACAAGCCCACAATCAAGTTTGCTTCAAGAACAATGGTCCAAACCACAAGGATCACCTCGAGCTTATCGGCCGCGGCAACTCTGCGGTTAACTGGATTGCCCCAGAAAGGCAGATCAAGAAACCTGGGCTTCAGCTTGTGGCCAAGATTGCACTGGATGATGACAGCTTTGAGGCTTTCAGAAAGACGATTCAAAGAGAGGCTCGCGGGGCCGGCGGTGTCTTGGCCAATATCTGGGTTCAGATCCACGAGCCGCCGACCAGCGAGGAAGAGACGCCCACTGTCGTCAACGGACAGTCAACTGCGGCTGATATCGCCGACAAAGAGTCACCTGCTCCCGTTGTCACGGAAGAAATTCCGGTACAAGGCGGTTCCCGCCCGTTGAGTATTGGCCCTCCTGATCAGTTCCGATTCGGTTCTCCTTCGTCGTTCACTGGCACTCCATTTGCCAAGAACCCATACGCCGTGCAGTTTGCGAATACTGGAATGCTTCCTATCCAGTACCCGAAGTACAACAGGCGTGTGATGGATGATGACAGCGAGGATGAAGACCGCAGTCAGCCGCTTGTCCTTGCAGAGCCGCAGCCGCGGCCCTGCGCTCACTGCCAGATCTACGGGCGTGAGGATGCCAACAGTCACGAGATTCGTGACTGTGGTTATGGTTCAAAGTTAGGGGACGTTCCCGGTTGCCCATTGTGCAATAGAATGACTCACTACTATGATGGCTGCAGGAAGAGAAAGAGATCTCCTGCAGACAGGCGCCATGAGGACTGGAAGTTTCTCGTCGAGTACCGCTCTGGACTCCCTCCTGTCCGCACCAAGATGGCGTGGCCTGATCTGGTGACTAACATGCAACCCACGCATGGTTTTCCCATCACCAAGGATATGGCTCTCCAGGTCAGAGACAACCATCGCCATGGTACTCAGTACCATGACCCTCTGACCAGGACGCTGGGTGACGTCCGGAAGAACTTGGAGCGCTTGAGGGCATCTGAGGTCTTCACTGGCATGGGCTGTTGAAGTGGAAGATATGGAGCGAAGACAAAGATAGGCAAAAGGCTTAATTAGAAAGAAAGAAAGGAAGGGAATAAACGTAAAGTTCACGAACTTATATACATGACCCATGTAGGGAACGATAAGAAATCCACCTGATAAGGTTGATAAGGCTGACAAGGCTGGAAAGCCATGTTCAACTTCAACATGGGCAACCAGTCGGTCAATCGTGAGTTCTAGTCCAGATACTGTTGGGCTAAGCTCTAGCGTCGAGTAGGCAATCAATATACATGTGATGCTGACTTGTTGTGGTGCGACCCTTTTGATATTCTGTGGTGATGTTGTGATCCGACGCCTGTGATGCTGACTTTCTTTTGTGTTGATGTTGTGATGCCCGTGATCCTTGTGATGTTGACTTTGTTCTGTGTTGATGTTGTCTCGACTTTGATTCAGTCTATGTTGCGATGATTTGCGATTCGTGATACTTTATGTTCAGATCCCGATGCTCCTAGATGATTCCAAAGTTGAATGAGTGATGGGCCGGACGTTAACCAGCGTAAGAATTTGGGATAGGAGGAGGAACATGGAGAAGAAATGGTATGAAAGAAGAAAGCAACCGTCATAGTCGAATGAATTTGATGCAAAGAAAGTTTGTACTCGTTCAAATACACTAATGTGCGGGCTTCTCTAATCGAATGCAATGTGCGCACTTTGCCGCTTGAAAGCGAGTGCAAAGTTTGCACCCGACTACACACACCAAATACTCAACCTCATGCCTACCGCACAATACCAACTCAAACCAGCAGTCCAACGGCCAACAAGGCCCAAACTCCCACCCCGAGCAATGTCGTCCTACCCATCTTCGAACTCGCCGCGTTGTCCTTTACTTGCCCGCCACTAATGAACGAAGAAAAGCCACCCTTTGTCTTAACACATAAGCTCATATCGCCAATATCTTTTCCTTTGAGGTGGGAGTCTGGAATCAAGCACCACAAGACGCATCCTTCAAACCCGTCCTGGCCACTAATATGCACCTCGTTGGGTGCGCAGCAATCTGTCATGCCCACGAACGATTCGTTCCAGTTGGGAATAACAAAAACGCTGCGGTCCATGGGTAGACCGGGGATGCCTTCGAGATCAGGGAGGGCATCGTGGTTGCAAGTGCGGTTGACGGACATTTTGAGTGGTTGTATTCGATTGTAGGTGGCTGGAGGTCTTGTTAGTCTAATTGACATCCTAGAAAACAGTCTGTTGAACATACCTGCCTGTCTTGCACTGCTTAAGAATCGTGATAGCAAACGTTGGTTGTGAGGTGGAAAGCAAAGAGATGAACCGTTGCAGGTTGGTCTGGGGAAGTGGGACCTATAAAAGGTATCTTGCCCTTGTCAAAGCCAAGACGCAAGGCATATTAACGATCCCGTGGGTTGACAGTTTGACACTTTGGGCGTATTTGGTTCAACTAATAAAACAAAAGTTTGTATGGGAAAATTATCCCTATCAGCCAACAAACTGCAAATATCAGTATTGATCCGGCGTCGGACCCCCTTTACCCCCTATAACCCCCTTATAACCCCCCTATAAACTAAATACAATAGGCTCTTGGCCGTACCTCCCCTATATATAGCTTGTATATACTTATATAAGGCTTTATTAATTTCTTAATTCAGTATAGTAATAATTTATTCTATTAGTTTCTATCTTAATGGGTTGGAGCATAAAAATAGAGTATTTTATTGGTTAATAGGGGTATTGAGTTAGGTTAGGTTAGGTGTTAGGTTGGAAGTTAATACCTTGCATGACCCCCTTTCGAATTTTATCTTTTATTATAAATACTTAATAAAACAAAATACCCCAATATGGATCCTATTCAATAGCGTATCTTTACGTTTCTAATGGCTATATTTCTGGCCGTCGCCGCTGTTATCTAAACCATCTACCTTCGAGGGAGCAACGAAATAGTATATAGAAGGAGGAGGGTATAGAGGAAGCGCTGGCTATACGGCCGTAATATTATATTCCTAGGCATTAAGATAATTGGGTGGTACAGAACCAAACTCTCTCAATTCGGAATAGATCTTATAATTACGGCGGCCGTTATAAACGAGCTCATCTAAACTAAACACCTCGTTGTCGACATCGTTATTAACGAGGCTGGCGATCTATAAACGAGTAGGAGGCATAATAGGCAAGGCAAGGTAATAAGCCATGGAGGGAAGAGATGAGGGTACTGGTAATAGAGGATTCTAATCAATAAAATTATAGAATTAATACCTATATTTATACCCAACCAACTCGACTCTACTTTATTCGATTAGGTACTCGATTAGGCATTCAATTAACCAGAAATCCTCGATTTATATCGACTCGCTATTATTATTAGTAATAATAGCTTTTATACATTTAAAAGCACTATTGTTACAATTTACTCGATTCCAGCTATCATTGCAATATATTATTATTTACATCCCCCTTTTTACCCCTTAAACCTTTACGGTTAATAACCGCCACTACCCAATATAGGAATCACATAAACGTTATATAATCTTATAGAACGGCTTCCTAACTACTAGAAGGATGTCTCTATTTGTGAATACGTTCAAAATTGAACTCGTTACGGTAATCACGGTCTCATAGCATAAAAGACGAGGCATTTTGTAAAGAATCTCAATAATAATTTGCACCCCAACATATAGCTTCGCTTACCAGCGCCACTAAGCATATACAGGCGCCACTATGCAATAAAAAATAAAAAGAAAAGAAAGATAAATGGTACAAAATCCCTGTCGGTTGCTGCAGATGGCGCTTTGTACCCTCCTCTACCCCTGTTAAAAACAGATTGAAATTTTGTTGGTTGAACCAAACACGCCCTTTGACTTGGTTCGATGCAGTGTTGACAAGTTGACATCCCTGAGGGGTGGCTGGTTCTTTATCCCTTGCAGCAGTGTAACACACAGCCCTAGTATCTGTCAGATTCATAGGTTGGCTGATTGTGTAGTGGTGCCAATCTGACAGTATCTGCACGGATCTGGTCAAAAAAATGACCCAGCCGGCTGGTACCGAATAACACAGCACAAAGATCAGCACCGTTGGCGCCATACAAGCCCCTGGCTGACCACCACATCCGGAGCGATATCACCTCAAGGTCAACTGACCAAAGAACGGACATAGCCGGTGTATGAAGTAATGCAGCTGAAAGTGAAAGTTATCTGTATATGATTTCTGTAATGGTAAATATCATATTGGGATCTGGGAAGATGCGGCTTGATATAATGCTCCGCTGTACGCTTCAGAGGAAAACATACACTTGCTGTATACAATCCCAGCACCCCACTCGATCCATCAATCTATACCAAATCCCGACCATACATCATGGCTCCCAGCTTATCATCCCCCATGTACATCACGTCCATCTGTTGAATCGTCGCGTATGTTCTCGGCTGGGCAGCATTGTCCCTATCGTACTCTTCCTCAAGCTTTTCGTCCACCGTTGGTAGGGTCGGCCGTTTCAAGATGGCAAATGTATCGGAGGATTCGGACGGGGATCGGATTGGCCAGGTTCTTCGTTTCTCGGACTGGTCGGTGGGACTGACGAGCTTGTGCCACTTTGGATGTTGGGAGCTATATCGTTCCAAGATATTGACTGGAGACATCAACGTTAGCGTTGGTATGCGAACCGGATGGCAGATACCCGGACAGTAACACTCACCCAAGCATATGGCAAAGAACTGCACAAACAGCGGCATCATGGCAACCAAGGCCAAGATCTGTCCAAACCCCCATTCATTTTCAGAATAGGAATCTCCGGCTAGTCCCGCGGTGCGTGTCCGAAGATGGATAAAGTAGAAAAGCGCAGTCCACATCACGCCAAAACTTGCCGCGACAAGCAAGCCACCCAGTGTATGGATGACCGAAGCAACCTTGTAGTCATTCAAGACGTCCGAGTCCCGTTTCCGTAGTATGTGAATGAACCATATGACAATCCCCCAGAAGACAGTTATTCCTGCTACAACCCAAGGGGTAACATTGAGGAGATGTTCGATCTGGTGTGTGGACCGACAATCCCTTTTCAGGCAGAACTCCTCAAAATAGGACAGGTGGTCTTCCAGAGTGAAAAAGGTAAAGCTCGTAATCGCCATAAAGACGAAGAGGATAAAGATGCTCGCAAAGGTAAGAACTGGGTACTTTCGCCGGCCGGGAAACCAGGGATAAAGGCAGATGAGGACCGCAACGGAGATCAGTACACCCAAGAAGCTAAAGTAGCCCGAGTAAACGGACCCCTGCCCCTTGTTGACGACGTTGAGAGCGAGGGAGGCAATATCGAGGGCGAATGTGAAGATGTATGTCGATATCCAGAAGGCCTCAAGGCATTGGTCGAACGCTTTGCGAATGGTCCTTGGACGGGGCTTGCCGGCCCTTTCGGGATGTTGTCGAGAATAGAGTCGATCTTGGATGTAGAAGACGACGTGGGAAAGCAGGAAGACGGCTGTGACGGCAGCTTGAAGAAGGTAGACGATGTAGACCTGTGAAGAGATACGTGAGTGTGAGTCCGGGGGTAACAGGAGTTGTGCGCACTTACACCGATCCCTGAAAGATCAGGATTACCCTCCCACTGCAGGTTGTTGCAAAAGTCGATATGGCATTCCTTCGAGTCCCTCAAATCTTCCAGTAGCGACAAGGCACCATTTGGATCAGACTGTTGCTGACGGACGAACCAGTCGATCGCTTGGCCATATGTGAGATTCGAGACATCCACCGAGGCCGGCGCACAATCCTGAAGCAACGAGTAGACGCCCATGAATGGCAAGGCGGGAAGATATCCATTGGCCTCGGATATGGCATGTTGGTTACCGGCGAGCACTCGTGAAGCCGTTGCGCAGTTGTTTTCGACAAGTAGATTGCTCAGTGTAAGGTTTCGAAGGACTGCCGGAAGCCCACGGGTGCTGGGGCTGGCGAGCAGATCGGCCAAGCCCAGGGACAGGTCACTGTTGTTGATGACTGGTCAAGACCTGAAACGAGCACAGAAGAGCCGACAAAAGGTGGACAGATCGCTTTGGAAGATATACCTACCTAGAAAGGCTGGCATATGAGGCAAACAGAACCATAGCCGTGGATGCCTTGCATTCCCTCACCCCTCATTTCGACATCGTGCAATCGTGCATGCAAACCTCTCCCACCTTCTCGTGTCTGCCAAGTTCCCCTCCGCGAACGACGAGCTGAACAGCCTTTGTGCATTTTGGACCGTGTTAGGACCGTGTCGATGGAAACACCTGGTGAGAGGTGAACGGTGTCCCACGTTGTGTGGCACCCGGGGGCACAGCAAACTGCGACGTCGATCAAGTTTTCGTGAACCAACTGGCCCCCAACTCTGCCACAACGGGAGAGGGACGAGCCTTGCCTATCATGTGCCATCCTGGCGCAGAACACTGCATCGAGCTATCAATAGTCTATATGTCGTTAGCCGGCCGGTGGGATGCGGTCCAGGCTTTTGAGAGGTCGCCTTGTGTGTCTCGATTCGCGACCCCGGCGAGTCTGGGAGAGTCGGAGGGCGTTGGGGCGGGATGGTGTAACGTGGTACCCCCACGACGATAAGAGTGATCATTAAACGTCGTTAACCGTCGGGTTGTCGAGGATATGGGGAGTTAGGGCTCGGGCCGTTGTCGGGAGACAGACTGTGCGTTCGATCGTGATACTGGCGAGTGGAATCAGGGGGTCATACGGAGTTGTGACGGGAAGCAGCGTCAGCATAAACCCACTGGAAAGATGAAAGGGGAGAAGACGGACTGACCGATACATCATGATGGTTGACTGATTGATCGAGCAAAAGATTAGGACAAATGGGCTAGGATGCCCCGCGGGAATGTGAAAAGACGTTCTGGATGCCGGTCGGGGACAATTGACGCAAGGTAGTGCAGTGGTGTCATGCAAGGAAGGTGCAGAAGGCATGAACAGACTTCGTTATGATGCAGGAACGACCAGCATTCGCAGAAAGCACGCGTAAGGGACAGCGAACCAAGAAAACAGCAGACAGCTGAAGCAAAAAAGAATGCGCTGCATTATTTCATCAAACATTATTCGCAGGTCGTACACTCATCATCACCACTCACTCCTTGCTATCTTTCGAACCCTCCTTACACCTCATTCCCTTCCCCTTCACCGGCGCCTTGTCATGCTCAATGCCCGCACCGCCGTTCTTCTCAAGCTCATCCAACTCTTTTTCGATAGCCTCTCCCACCTCCTTATCAACCCTACTGAACATCTCGATTGTCTTTTTCTGCACTTCCGGCAACGCCTTGCCAACGTGCGCCGCCACATTCTTGGCAAACCGCTTGTCTTCTCCGGTCTCCTTGAAGATCTTCCATAGATCCCTCGGCTGCTCGAAATCGAGATCGGTGACTTCTGAGGAGAACAAGGCGACCTTACCGGTCCACTCGTCGTGAGCGACGTCAGGAGGACCGAGACGCATGGGGCGGAAAGAAGACCGGACGTAATTCGGGTCGCCGCCGTAGTTGCCGTCTACCCGCATTGGGCCATCACGCTGGTCCGGGGAGTACACGTGCAAGGCGCGGTTGCAGGGGAGTTGTTGGTAGTTGGGACCGACACGGTAGCGGGCGGCATCAGGGTAGGAGAACATCCTAGCCTGGAGCATGGGGTCCGCGCTAGGGCCAATGCCAGGAACCATGGTGGAGGGGGAGAACGCAGCTTGCTCGATATCCTGGAAGTGGTTTTCCGGGTTCTTGTTAAGCGTGAGTTTGCCGATGGGACGGAGAGGATAATCCCGATGCGACCAGGTCTGCGTAATATCAAAGATGTTGTACCGGTAGGTTTCGGCGTCCTTAGGATCCATGATCTGGAAGTACATGGTCCAAGTGGGGTAGTCGCCGCGCTCGATGGCGTTGTACATGTCTTTGATGTGGTAATCGGGTTCTTCGCCGGCCAGGCGGACGGCTTCGTCGGACTCGAGGTTCTTGATGCCGGCGTCGGGCTTGAGGTGAATCTTGACGTACTTGAACGTGCCGTCCTCGGGCTTGCCGAACTTGTAGGTGTGGTTGCCGAAGCCGTTGACATTGCGGAGAGAGGCGGGGATGCCACGGCCGCCAAAGAGCTGCATCAAGCAGTGGACGCCTTCTTGGTTGTTGTTGTGGAAATCCCAGAACATGGTCGAGTCGGGCACGTTGGTCTGGGGGTGACGCTTGTGGGAGCGGTTGAGACTGGGAAACTTGACGGGGTCGCGGATGAAGAAGACGGGCAGGTCATTTCCGACAAAGTCCCAGTTGCCCTCCTCGGTGAAGAACTTGAGAGCGAAACCGCGGATATCACGAATCGTATCCGCAGAGCCCTTCTCGCCTGCTACCGTGGAGATACGGGCCAGGACCTTGGTCTTCTTTCCGACCTTGTTGAGGAAGTCAACAGACGTAAAGTCGGAGACATCTTCCGTGCACTCAAACTCTCCCCAGGCACCGGCTGCCTTGGCGTGGACGACACGTTCGGGTATGCGTTCTCGGGGGAAGTGTGCGAGGGTTTCGATCAACTGGGTGTCTTGGAGTAGAGAGAGGGCTCCCCCACGAGGCTTGGAACCCCTGAGGACAGTGGCAGCCGAAGGGTCCTGGACGGGGCGTCCCTCGGCGAGTGTGTAAACTGGTGCGTCGTCCTGTGATATGTAGAGGTAAGTATGGGCGGATTCTGGAGGGGAAGGAAGGACATACTTACTGAAGACATGACTGTGATAATGGTAGAATCTGGTGTAGGATGAGATGGAGAGCGAGACAACAATCATGCCTCCCAGACCACAACTGCTGTCTTTATATCGGTTTCGATGTTGATATCGCCATGCTAGTCTCGATGGTGGTGAGTGGTGGATACCATGACATCACCACTTTTTGAAATCCAACTTTTACACACACAACGCCCGATCAGCGACATCCATAGTCTCCGGGCCAAGGCAAATTGGAGGAACGAGCCATGGTTGTGACCGTGGTGGGCTATCCTCTGAGCGCTAAGTGCTGTCCATGATGCTGTTCGGTCCTTGATTCGAGTGCGATGTCTCGGGTCAGTGGCCCATTGTAAAAGTCAGGGCCCTGTTTATCATCCAGTCGTGATTCATTGGTGACGGTCGAGAGCCACGTGGGATGTGTATCACGTTCGTCAAAGGATGGAAGCTCTTCGTGCCGAATGGTTGCAATGTCGTCGTGAGGAGACCGGTGTGCTGGACCCCTCAGATATCGTGCATCAAGGCCACAATGGAACGCGGTTGCCACACATCACTTGAGTGTAGCCGGACTGGAAGTGTAAAGACTCAAGGCATGCTATTGACACTCGTGTTAAGGTTGCAGTCACTTGGCTGGCGTCCACATGTGAATGGAATTGTAGCCAAGCATCCAAAGTCCCACGTCGTATAAAATCGCAATCTTTGGTGTTTCGCCCGCTTCCAATCGGCTCTTCTGGATTGTCGAGACAATGTTCGCGACCGTCGGCCAGTAGCGAAAAGGAAGGTGAGGTGGGTCCTCGGAAATCGCATCCGACCGAAACACATCAAGTCGTCCGCAACCCTGCAGACGTGGTCAACACGGGAGGATGGGGGAGTCCGAGATGCCAAGGGGATCATTAAATAGCGTCGCTGGGCATTGGAAGACAAGAGTTGAGGCTCTTGATTGACAAGACAAGACAGTCAGTGCCGATGTGAAGATGTGAAGATGTGAATAGAATGCAGAATCAGCGAACGGCGAATGGTGGGCCACCAGCGGGCACACTGCGCGGCGTTCGGGGATCGGCAATGTGGAATATCGTCGACATTGTTGCCGTCGGTGAAGGATACGATGTTCGAATGTTGTTTGATGATATATTATCAGAAGCCTGAGATGTTGAAGTTGTTATCTTTTGCCCATGCAAGTGTCATTTCCGAAGTGCATCCAGTCGAGACAAGCGATTGGATGAGACCGAGACAAAAGACGAACTGAATGACGGCGCACGGCCGGTGCCACCGGCACGATCAGCCGCCATTGGCCAATCACAGCCCAGAAAAAACTTTTTGTCATGGGAAAAAGGCGGGGGTGGCTGTGTGCCCCTGGTGCTGCCTCCCGCACGTGAAGACAGGCCTCCAATGTCGTGTGCCGCTCGCATTGCGTGATTGAACCCCGGAGGCCCTGAGATCTGTTGGTTCGGGGAAAGGCCTTGAGCTTTTTCGACAACCTTCATTTGCTTTTGAAGGCGGCCAAGACGGCCCTCCCGCATTCCGCCGTGGCCCGTCAGGCGATGAACAAGGGCCGGCATGGACCGTCAAGGACTGTCAAGGACTGTCAATTGTGGGGCCAAGCTGTCGAGGCAACCTCAGACGGGAACGCGGGCTGTAACCCAATAGCGTGTGCAGTGCGCTCAGACGCATCGAGTGACATGGAGTGTCATCAACGAGACGCAATGAGACGAACTCAACCACATCAAACCAGGGGCATCATGTTCTCGAACGTCGGCCCAATTTCCAGAATTCTGCTTTGTTGGTTCGGTCGGCCTGTCGTCTATGCATCGAGTGTGTGGCTGCTGACCCGTGCCCCGTCGCATTGCTCTTCCGAAAGACGGCATCGCCAATCCCATTCGGGAACACAGTGAAACCGTAATGTCGGTCGCTGTTCCCACTACGGAAGCTCCAAGTTTTGGCGCATTCTGACAACCCACCAGATAACAACCCGTAACTCCGGCCGCAAGTCCACCATTCAGATGGCCTGGCCTCACCCGCCGATCCTGATAACACTCTTCTCGGGCTCCACCCGGTTAGAACCGGTATCACGCTTCCACTTTGCCCAGTCCCGTCTTGCCTCTCCAGAGTCACATCTCCGACACAGCTGAGGCAAGACAGCCAGTGGAAAATGCTATACAACTGAGTCAATACCTACCCCAGACTCCTCTCACAATATTCTTTTTTGCTGATCTCATACCTTCTCGCCCATTCAGACTCGCGCACTAGAAGCCCTCCCCGCCCGTTCCTCGATTCCACTTCTCCTGCACAATCTCTGCGCCGGCCGAAACCTTAAAGACGCAGTTGGTAGAAGGGTCGCGTGGTCCTCGCCGTCTCTTCGTCAGACCAAAGCTTTCCCTCTCGTCCGATCTTTGGCTCCATCCTTGTTCGACCGAACACGAGGGAGAGAAGCGCAAAGACCACAACCGCCCCGCCCGACAACCTTCGAACAAAAGCGATTTGAGACATATATACACACATAAAGAAACATGGCGGCGCGAGCAAGTACGCCGCCGGCGCCAGCGAGTCCCTCCTCCGGCTCCTCCGCTGCCGGAACGCCACCCGGAAGCGCAACCAAGAATGAGTTTACCAAGGAACAGTTCGCCGTCGATGACGATGCGCCGTCCTTCGCCGAGCAGAACGCCGGCCCCGAGCTGAAGCGCAGGCTCAAGTCTCGCCATTTGCAAATGATTGCCATTGGTAGGTGACCCGGGATGCAATTTCTTGAGGAGAAAAAACTGACTGATAGCACAGGTGGTACGATTGGTACTGGTCTCTTCATCGGTTCCGGCAGCGCCCTCGCCAAGTCGGGCCCCGGTGGTATCCTCATCGCCTACTGCTTTATCGCCTCCATCGTTTACAGCATCATGATGTCCCTCGGCGAAATGGCCACCTACATCCCCGTTACCGGCGGTTTCACCACCTACGCGGCTCGCTTCGTTGACAGGTCTCTCGGTTTCTCCATGTCGTGGATCTACTGGTTCTCTTGGGCCATCACCTTTGCGCTCGAGCTGGTCGCTACTGGTCTGATCATTCAATACTGGAACGACTCTCTGTCCATCGGCATTTTCATCGCCATCTTCTGGGTCGTCATCTTCATCATCAACATGTTCCCCGTTTCCTGGTACGGCGAGGCCGAATTTTGGATGTCCTCCATCAAGGTCATTACCGTCATCGGCTTCCTGATCTTCGGCATCTGCATCAACGCCGGCGCCGGTCAGCTGGGCTACATTGGCTTCAAGTACTGGCACGAACCGGGTGCTTTTGCTCCCTACATTGTTGACCCTAGCCGCCCTGTCGCCAAGTGGGTTGGTTTCTGGTCCGTCATGATCCAGGCCGGTTTCTCCTTCCAGGGCACCGAGCTTGTCGGCATCGCTGCTGGCGAGACCGAAGATCCGCGCCGCAACGTCCCCCGTGCGATCCGCATGACCTTCTACCGTATCTTCCTCTTCTTCATCATGACCGTCTTCTTCATCGGCATCCTCATCCCCTACGATAACAAGGACCTGAACAACAGCGGCTACACCGCGGCTGCCTCTCCCTTTGTCATTGCTGCCCAGCTCGCCGGTGTCAAGGTCCTACCCGACATCATTAACGCTGTTTTGCTTACTGTCGTCCTCTCTGCCGCCAACTCCAACGTCTACTCGGGCTCTCGCATCCTCGTCTCCCTCGCCAACGACGGCATGGCCCCCAAGTGGTTCAAGCTCACCACCAAACAAGGCGTCCCCTGGGTTGCCGTCATTTTCACCTCCGTGTTCGGTTTCCTCGGCTTCCTCAACCTCTCTGAAAACGGCAGCCAGGCCTTCAACTGGCTTCTCAACATTTCGGGCGTCGCGGGCTTCATCGCCTGGTCCGGCATTCTCATCGCCCACCTCCGCTTTATGAAGGGTCTTGAGGCGCAGAACATCCCCCGCGCCAAGCTGCCTTATACCGCCGCTCTCGCCCCTTACTACGCCTACTACGCCCTGTTCTTCTGCGTCTTGATCACCCTGACTCAAGGCTTCACCGCGTTCATGCCCTGGAGCACCGAAGGTTTTTTCGTGGCGTACATCTCGCTAATCCTCTTCGCTGTCATGTACCTGGGCCACAAGCTCTTCACACTCATTGTCCACGGCGCCGCGGCGTGTAAGCCGGTCGCTGCGAAGGATATGGATCTTACTACTGGATCTTTGGATCTGGATGTGGAGATTATCGATGAGGTCGAGGAGCCTACGAGTATCTGGAAGAAGATTGGAACGGGTATCATGGGTTAAGGGGAAGAGGGTTGTGGATGTAAGGATTGATGTACGTTACGGATCACGAACGATGGATGAGGAGTGGATGGGATATGAAAAGGGAATGATGGAACGGGCATATACACTATGTCTTGTAGTTTCTTTTTACACAAGCGTTTTACGTTGGATTTTCGTTTTTGGATGGATGTATACCTAGCTAATTGCTCAAAAAGAAGGCGGCGGTGTTATAGATTGATACCCCGGTGCAGCTCAACGCTGTTTAGACAAAAATTAATTTACTGCATGATTCAAAAGGCTTATTGACATATAACAGGCACCTCATCCATGTCTGGATAGCATGGTGCCTCGGTTCACTTGAAACAAGAACCGCATGAAGTCGAACCACGGCGTCGTTTCTCACAATCCCTTATATATGCGACTGCGTTTCGCACCAACCTGCATTACTTGCTAGTTGTGTCCGTGGCTCCATGCCCAACCGTTTACTGCACCTTCCTCCTCTCCGTCTCCTCCATAGCCTCATCAGCAACCTTGATCCTCCCCAGGATCCTCCTGGCCATGTCAACAGCCATAATGCTGGCTGTTTTTGTCACTTGTCAGCATCTTTACGATCCTCAGGAATGAAAGGGGCCACTTACGAACCAAAAACCACGGCCCAAAGAACTGCAAGATCATCGTCCTCCTCACCTCCTCACTATAAACCGCCGGATCCCAATACCCCACATCATAGATACACACCAACGTAGTCAAGGCCGTCTCCAGGGCGTACACCAAGAATAGCAGCTCATCCCGTCCCGTGGTGCCCTTTCTTTTCACAGCGAGCTTGAAGAATCCGTAGAGCCCCACGGGTAAAGTGAAGCCGAATTCGAGATACAAAAACAAGCCGATCCAGGAGTCGTGGGAGCCGGGGACGGAGGTGGCAGGAGACCATTGTACTATGGGGTCGTTGTATTGGGCGATGTAGTCTTGGCGGACGAGGTGGAAGATGTGCAGCGGGGCGGAGGGGGAGGAGTACCACGAGGAAGGGTAGAAGTGGAGGGCGTCGATGACTGGGATGGGGTTAGTGACATGGACGAGAGGGAAGCATATGGGAGAGAAGAGAGATTCGGAGGTTTAGCAGGTGTGTTGTCTGTGTCTCGGGCAGCTGAGGGGCCGGGACGTACAAAGAATGATGGGGATCGACAGCGCGAACCACGCCAGCCAGACGTAGTTCAGGCGGGATTCGTTGTAGACAGCCATGTTGTTTGTTGATCGATAACCAAACGTTGTCAGGTCTTGACGAATGGATGGTGGTGGTTGTCAAGTGGGAGAAGCAAGATTGTTGACCCCAGATTTCCCAAAAAAGCTGACAGTGATGCCCAATCGGTTGGCGTAAACGGCCAAGCTACCCCTGACCCCTGCAGTTTTATCACCGAAGGGCATTTGCAATCCACACCGAGGTGTGCGCCAGCAGACCAGCCCAGACTCTTCAGCAGGACGTACAACTTCGACGTCGGGCAGCGGACTGCTTCTCTCCAGGCCAGTCAAACGCAAGAACCAAGAAACATTACATTATCGTATCGACATCTACCACATCAATCCGCCCTCTTCCCAGGCTGATATCCCCAACCATTACCCACGCCCATCCCATACCCCAAAGGCGTCGCGCCTCCCAAGCTCCTCCCCTTCAGTCTCTGCGGCAATACGCTTCCAAAGAACCAAACACTGCTCACACACACGCCCGCTCCAAACGACACCAGCGCGTAGAACACGGTGCTAGCGTAGATATGTCCTCCCATGCCCTGCCACTCCACCTTTCCTTCCACTCTCGGCAGCTCAGGCGTCGGGAACCATCTGACCGAGAACTGCAGCGGTAGGGGATCCCCAATCACCAGTCTCCTCGTAGAACTTCCCTCCATGTGCGTCAGGGGAGACGTAGAGTACGCCGTAGCGCTATCCAACACCCCTGAATCCTTCTTGTGCAAATGATGTTTCGGCGTGGAATGCAATAGCACGTTCATGTGCGTCGAGATGTGCATATGGGACAATTGCAGCGTCCCGGCGAGCGCAAACACGAGGGGGATGTATTCGGTGACATGTGGCTTCTCGCCTACGATCTCGACTTGTGGAGGAGGATGCGCTGGCAGGCGGCAGGCTAGGGGAGCGTCGGAGTGGATGTAGAATTCGAGCAGGTGGAAGAAGGGGTCGTCAATCATGGGGATGGTGCAGTTCTGCTCGGTCTCGATGCCGTAGTTGAATTCGAGGGGGGCTTTGGTTTCTTCGCACATGGGGAAGGGGATCCATTGGATTTCGTGGGCGGGGGTTTCAATGTGTTCGCCGGTTTCTCTGTGGGATTCGGAAATGGTTAGCAGAAGTTCTGGTAAAGGATAAAGGGGTTGCGAGGGAAGCCCGTGGGTAGGAGGGATGCGATGGAACGGAGAGAGATGGAAAAAAACCCATGTTAGGGATAACCGGAAAGGGGCGTAGAGCTTACGAGCTGCGGTTCATGCATTCAACGCGAATGGGAGCGCCATAGTGGTAGGACGGCAACTCATGAGGAGCTATCTCGGCTGCGAGGATATTGGTTACTAGAGAGGTGGCGATGGCGGCGAGTGAGACAAGCCATTGACGGCGCGACCGCGAATTGGGGGTCGAGAACAACATTGTGGGGGAATCGAATTACAGTTATACACTAGAAGGGATCATAGTATGGTGCGCCAGGCAATTGTTAGATGGCAAAAAGATTGGAAGCCGGTGTGGGCGACCCTGCGCTCCGGTCTGTCCGTGAATCGTGATGATCGCGGCGGGTTGGATGCTTTCTTCCGGTGTTGCAGCCAGGAGTTGGACCTCAAGGTGCCATGCACGCCTGGGCAATCGAACTTCTGGCATATGCATATAGGAAGAAGCTAGTACTGACGGTAAACACATAGAGGTAGGCTCGCTCTGCCCGATAAGGCTGATAGGACCGACAGCGATAAGATAAGAATGTCTCCGAGGCACAGCACCACCAGTTCGTTCGATTTTCCAAACCAACGGCGTCATGTTCCATTCCATTCAGTTCCTTTCATGCTTCCACAATTGTTCTGTCAATGACACACTTTCTGGACTGTTCCGCATGTCGTCTTCAGGTCACCACATTTTCTCGTTACTTCTCGTTATCTCGTTATCCCACTTGTCGGAATCATCCCGACGGTGTTTGCTCCGCCAGTGGGAAGCATGTGAAAGCTGAAAGTCGCCCAAAGCCAGGCCAGTGTCCGCTATTGTCTCACCCAATTTCCTTCGGGACGCGAGCTGGATGGGGCACGGCGAACATGAACCCTGTTGGTCATGGAAGAGCCTGACAAGCGTCGGGTTGATGCCGACAGATGATGATGCCAGGGCCGTCAGCTACAAGTGTATTTGACCTCAGTTTCTCTCGTCAGTTGTTGTCGTTGTGGGATTCCATGGTGTTTTGTTTATATATCCTTCAGTGATACTGCAATGTCCACATTCTCACGATAATTGACCAATCCGAAGCTTCAGCAGCAGCACAATGGCCGAGCCAAGTGCCCCAGCACCCCGGGACGCCGCCTCACATCCTGAAAAAGAGGTCCTTTCGAGTACCACAGCATCTTCCGACATCGACATCCAGAGTGCCGCCACGGCTCATGACCAGACTGGCTTGCACTCGTTCATGGAAGGGGCCGATACCGAAGAGCTCCAAAAGATTGCAACCACCCTGTCTCGCCATCGATCAGTCACCCATCCCGCAGCCCACCATCACCTGGACCCCGTCCTCGACCCTGAAAGCGACCGTTTCGACTTGTCCAAGTGGGTAAAGGACTTCATCACCCATCTTCAGCCCGAGGACCACGCCAAAGATGCCCACCCGAGCGTATCCTTCAGCAACCTCAGCGTCTTTGGTACCGGCTCCGAGCTTCAGTTGCAGGCCTCCGTCAGCGATGTGTTCATGTCACTCTTCCGTCCTGGCGAGATCTTTTCGTTCGGCAAGACCAAGCCCAAGCAGATCCTCCACGACTTCAATGGTCTTCTCAAGAGTGGTGAACTCCTCGTCGTCCTTGGCCGCCCGGGATCCGGATGCAGTACTTTCCTGAAGAGCATCTGCGGAGAGCTTCACGGTCTTCATCTCGACGACAAGGCTTCCATCCACTACAACGGCATTCCCCAGCACCAAATGGTCAAGGAGTTCAAGGGCGAGCTCGTCTACAACCAGGAGGTCGACAAGCACTTTCCCCATCTCACCGTCGGCCAAACCCTCGAGTTCGCAGCAACCGTCCGCACCCCTGCCACCCGCATTGAGAACATGTCCAGGGCCGAGTACTGTCGCTACATGGCCAAGGTCGTCATGGCCATCTTTGGCCTCAGCCACACCTACCACACCAAGGTCGGTGATGACTTCATCCGGGGCGTCAGTGGTGGTGAACGCAAGCGTGTCAGTATCGCTGAGATGTTCCTCGCGGGAAGTCCTATCTGTGCCTGGGACAACAGCACCCGCGGTCTTGACTCGTCCAGCGCTCTCAAGTTCGTTCAAGCCCTGCGCATGTCCTCCAACATGGGCAACCACGCCCACGCTGTCGCCATTTACCAAGCCAGTCAAGCCATCTACGACGAATTCGACAAGGCCACCGTGTTGTACGAAGGTCGGCAGATCTACTTTGGTCCGGCGTCCATGGCCAAGTCCTTCTTTGAGCGGCAAGGCTGGTACTGCCCACCTCGTCAGACCACCGGTGACTTCTTGACGGCCGTCACCAACCCTCACGAAAGACAGCCCCGTCAAGGCATGGAGCTCAAGGTCCCTCGTACCGCTGAAGAGTTTGAGCGTTACTGGCGAGAGTCTCCCGAGTACAAGGCCTTGCAGGAAGAGATCGAGCACTATGAGGAAGAGTTCCGTGGCGAGCGCAAGACTGAAGCCATTGCCCAGCTTCGTGAGCAAAAGGAACGTCGACAGGCCAAGCACGTCAGGCCCAAGTCACCTTATACCATCTCGTACGCCTCCCTTTCCTCGAATTCCTTCCCTATCTTTTGTCCTCTGCTAACCACATCTTCACAGCATTGCCATGCAAATCAAAGCATGTACCGTCCGCGCCTACCAACGAATCTGGGGCGACCGCACCGCTACCTTTACCATGATGTTTGCCAACCTCGTCCTCGCTCTGATCATCGGATCCATCTTCTATGGAAACCCCGACGCTACCGCCGGTTTCGCTGGCAAGGGCTCTGTCCTTTTCATGGCCATCCTGCTCAATGCCCTGACCGCCATCACCGAGATCAACTCTTTATACGCTCAACGTCCCATGGTGGAAAAGCACGCCTCCTTCGCCTTCTATCACCCCGCTTGCGAAGCCGCTGCCGGAATCGTTGCAGACATCCCCATCAAGTTTGCGACTGCCACCATCTTCAACATCCTGGTCTACTTCCTTGCTGGTCTCCGCCGCGAACCCGGTCAATTCTTCCTGTACTTCATTGTCTCCTACCTGTCGACCTTTATCATGAGCGCCTTTTTCCGGACCATCGCCGCCAGTACGAGAACCGTATCTCAAGCCCTTGCTTTAGCTGGCGTGCTGGTCCTCGCTCTGATCATCTACACGGGCTACATTGTCCCTGTGCCGGAGATGAAACCCTGGTTTGGCTGGATTCGGTGGATCAACCCCATCTACTACGGCTTCGAGATCCTCATTGCCAACGAGTTCCACGGGAGGGAGTTTACTTGCTCGAGTATCGTCCCGCCCTATCCGAATCGCATCGGGGATTCCTGGATCTGTGCTAGTACCGGTGCTGTGGCTGGTCGGGCGACTGTCTCGGGTGACATGTACATGAAGGTCACCTACGGATACACCTACGCGCACGTCTGGCGCAACTTTGGCATCCTCTGGGCTTTCCTGGCCGGCTTCCTGTTTATCTACTTGCTGGCCACGGAACTCAACTCATCCAACACCAGCACCGCCGAGGCTTTGGTCTTCCGGAGGGGCCACGTCCCCGCCCGCTTGCAGCAGAAGGCCAAGGACGCTGAGAAGTCTGGTGATGGTGGCCTGCTGCAGCAGGAGGCGCCGCTAGATCCCAAGAGTCTGGTCGATCCCCAAACGGATATCTTCACCTGGAAGGACGTGGTGTATGACATTGACTACCAAGGCGGCCAGAGACGGTTGTTGGATCATGTTAATGGATGGGTCAAGCCTGGTACCTTGACGGCGCTGATGGGCGCTAGTGGTGCGGGAAAGACAACGCTTTTGAACGTGCTGGCTCAACGGACAACGATGGGCGTGGTGACAGGTGATATGTTGGTTAACGGGACGCCATTTGGAGCGGATTTCCAGAGACAGACTGGTTATGTGCAGCAGCAGGGTAGGCCGCCCCCCTTGATCCCAAATGCTTTGAACCATGCTAACGGCAATAGACCTCCACCTTGAGACGGCAACTGTCAGGGAAAGTCTTCGCTTCAGTGCCATGCTCCGCCGTCCCAAGACCGTCAGCAAGCAGGAAAAGTACGATTACGTGGAAAAGGTTATCAAGATGCTCGGCATGGCAGACTACGCTGATGCCGTCGTCGGTGTGCCCGGCGAAGGTCTCAACGTTGAACAGCGCAAGTTGCTCACCATTGGCGTTGAGCTCGTTGCCAAACCCAAGCTCCTTCTCTTCCTCGATGAGCCCACCTCTGGATTGGATTCCCAATCTGCCTGGACGATCTGCGTCTTCCTCCGCAAGCTCGCCAACGCCGGTCAAGCCATCCTCTGCACCATCCACCAACCGAACGCCATCCTTTTTCAGCAATTCGACCGTCTCCTGTTCCTCGCCCCCGGTGGCAAGACCGTCTACTTTGGCCAGATCGGACAAAACTCCAAGACCCTCCTCGAATACTTTGAATCCAACGGTGCCCGCCCCTGCGGTGACCAAGAGAACCCAGCCGAGTACATGCTTGAGATTGTGGCGGATGGTACCAACAACAAGGGGAAAAACTGGCCGTCGGTCTGGAAGGCTAGCTCGGAGTATCAAGAAGTCCTGACTGAACTCGACAACATCCACTCGTCCACTGCCGGCACACCGTCCGCACAAACCACGGATCCAGGTTACGTCGCCTCCGAATTCGCCATGCCCTTCACGTCTCAGCTCTGGGTCGTAACCGAACGCATCTTCCAACAATACTGGCGCATGCCGGGCTACATCATCGCCAAGTTCTTGTTGGGTGTCATGTCTGGCCTCTTCGTCGGCTTCACCTTCTTCAAGCCCCACAGCACGCAAGCCGGCATGCGTAACGTCGTCTTCTCCGTGTTCATGATCACCACCCTCTTCACCACCCTGGTACAACAGATTCAGCCTCTTTTCGTCACCCAGCGTTCTCTCTATGAAGGGCGCGAACGTCCCTCCAAGACTTATTCCTGGAAGGCGTTCCTCTTTGCCAACATGTTTGTCGAGATGCCCTACCAAGTTTTATGCGGCGTCCTGACCTACGCATGCTTCTACTACCCCGTGGTTGGCGTGCAGGATTCGGACCGTCAGGGTTTGGTGCTGTTGTACATGATCCAGCTCTTTGTATACTCCTCCGCCTTTGCGCACATGACCATTGCCGTCCTTCCCGACGCCCAGGCTGCTTCCGGTATCGTCATCTTGTTGACGATGATGTCCACCATATTCTCCGGCGTCTTGCAAACCCGCATCGCTCTTCCAGGATTCTGGACATTTATGTACCGTGTATCGCCGTTTACCTACTGGATTGGGGGTATTGTCAGCACCATGCTGCACAACCGCTCCGTCACTTGTTCTGCCGAGGAGACTCTGACGTTCAACCCACCGCAGGGTATGTCGTGCGCGCAGTATCTTGGGCCGATGATGCAGCAGGCGGAAGGAGTGCTTCAGAACCCCAATGCGACTGAGTCGTGTAGGTACTGTGCTTTTAGCGTGGCGGATCAGTATTTGGTGGGGGTGGACATCTTTTGGAATGAGAGATGGAGGAATTGGGGATTGGTTTGGGCGTATATCGTTTTCGATATTGTGGTGGCGGTGGTGTTGTATTATGTGTTTAGGGTGAGGGGTGTTGGAAGGAAGTGAGCGGTGATCGGTTGGGTGGAGGTTGGATAAAGAACGTGAAAGAAGGAAAGATGGAAGAAACACTGTCAGGAGCAGGCAAGGCTTCTGTTAATGTGGTAATAGTAATGTCTGCTTGATACCAACAGATTTGGATTATATGATAGATGATAGATGGGAGCGTAGAATACAAGATACCTTGACCAAGTTCATCCAGGGAAACCAGATTGGGCGAAGGTGCCCGGATCTTGTGCATTGCCCCAACCTCGAGATTTTCCTCTTGATGACTCTGTCCGAACGAATAGAGCGGCTTGATGCGGCACTGACTCACATCCAATGACCCCTTCTTGCGGTGATGGGATGAAAACCGATTCGACCATTCGGATTCGGGACGGTAGCACCCGCTGCAATCCCCCTCCGCGATCGGCTCTCCGCATTCGACCTCTGACTACTAATGACTCTTCCTCATCCTCACCATCCTCACCTCAACCATCAAGTCAAAACCCAACAATCCGCAACACCAACGTCAACACAAATCGACCTTGACTGTCCCCGATCGAGTGGAATCCTCCAAGGCCAGCAACATCTCACGCCCGAGCTTACTTCCACCTCACGAATCAAGATCCGACCTGATCCTCAACAGCCAAAATGGGCAAATTCCACACCTCCCTCCCCCCCTCTCTGCTCCCCTGGATCCTCTCCCAACCCGTCTTCTTCGTCTCCACCGCCCCCCTTTCTCCCCAAGGCCACATCAACGTCTCCCCCAAAGGCACCTTTCCCAACATCAACTCCTTAGGCTACATCCCTTCTCCCGAGGGGTCAACCAAGCCAGCCCAATTCTGGTACCTAGACCTCTCCGGTTCCGGCTCGGAAACGATTTCCCACCTTTACGAACCGGGAAATGGGCGGATTACGGTCATGTTCTGTGAGTTCGGCAAAGCGGCGCCTAGGATTGTGAGATTGTTTGGACGGGGGAAGGTGTTGGAGAATGGGACGAAGGAGTTTGAAGAGTGGACGAAGAAGGAAGGAGTCGAAGTGATTCCCGGTGCCAGAAGCGTGGTGGTGGTGAAGTTGGAGCTGGTGGGCGATAGTTGTGGGTTTGCGGTGCCGGTTATGGAGTTTAGGGAGAGGAGGGAGGTGTTGAATGATCATTTTCGGAAGAGGGTGGAGAGGTTTGAGGCGGGGAAGAGTGCGGAGAATATGGAGAGGTAGGTTTTATGGTCATGGTCAACTTGGTTGTTGGGGGATGTCTGGTACTAACGGGATACAGATACTGGGCGTACAAGAACGCTTGGAGCTTGGATGGATTACCGGGCATGGAGGTGGCGAGGAAGACGGGTGAGAAGGAGGGGATTGCACCGATTGAGAAGATGGTTGGGCCGATGGCGAGTAACTTGCTGTATACTCGAAGGAAGTGGTACAGTTCCTCGGGTATTTGGGCGGTGATATTGCAAGTTCTCTTGACGGCAATCGTGGTTCTGGCAGGGGAGAGACTGTTGGGATTCAGATGATGAAGTCCGTACAGCTGTTTCTCCTCTTGTCTCGATGTCAAGGGCTTTTCTCATTTCCATGGTTTAGCGAGCAGCGGTTCTGTCATTCATCTCATGGATTATATTCTAACGCTCATGAAAAGGTCTTTCTCCATGTCGTCCCTCATGCTTTTCTTCTGGCTGTTGTCACACCCCCTTCTTCTGTCCCAGGAGGCTTGTCTTCCCCAGACCAACATGAACCATCAGACCCCAAAGCCCCCCTTCCCATGACATTTACCAAGGCACCTGAGCCCCCGAATAGTTAAAGAACTTCCCATTATCCTCCTCCTTGAGCCCCTGCAACACCTTCAACTGCCCGCCAATACTCTCCTCCGGGCTCAGCATCGCTTCCTTACCACCCATATCCGTCTTCACCCACCCCGGACACATCATGATGACCACCGCGCCCTTCAACCCCGCCTTCCTCAAATCCGCCGCCAGATGGGCACTCAACATGTTCAATGCCGCCTTGCTAATCGAGTAACTGGTGTCCCGTCTTTCCTCGCGGCCCACAGTGGTCTGAATGCTTCCCAGCGTAGAACTCATGTTCTGCACCCTCACGTTCTCGCTGAGCACGCCCTGCTGGAGCAAGAACTCCACCAGCTTCGCGGGACCGAGAACGTTGGTCTTGATGGTCTCCAGCAAATCATCGGGGGCTAGCTGAAGCGACGAGTTCTGGTTGGAGAGGTTGACGCCGGCGTTGTTGATGACGTAGTCGATCTTGGTGTCTCCGAGAGTGGAGCGGGCGGTCTTGGCGAAGTCCCGGATGGAGGCGAGGGACGAGGTGTCGCATTCGAGAATGTGGGTGTTGTCGTTGGCGAGGGATTTGAGGTCCGAATGGTCCTTGGACAGGTCGCGGACGAGGGCGAGGATGGTGTTGTCTGGGGACTGGGTGAGCTGGCGGATGAACTCGAGGCCGATGCCGCGGTTGGAGCCGGTGATGACGTAGGTGGGCATTTTGTTGGGTGTTTTGGATGGTGGAAGAGTTTAAGGTTGTAATTAGCAAAAGAGGTCGGGAAGTCAAACCGGGAGAAACAGAGGCTCGGACCTTCTTATACCTCAAAGCCCAGTGCCCGTGGTTTATAAGCAACCTCAAGGACCCACGACCGGAGATCGGCAAGACGGGCCGGATCTACGGAGGGGGCGGGGGCCCGATCACCATGCCCGCGGGGGCCCGGGGGTAGACTACGTGGAGAATTAGGGCCCACCCGGATGATCGCTCTGTTCACCCCTGGTTTGTTCGTTAGCGCGGGACTTCACTACGCACTCTGCGCAACTCAACCACTACTTCCCCAAAATTCATGCACAAAATTGGTGTCAACCCGATGCTTCTTGAGGGCGTCATATAGTCTCTCCAATTTTTCGCTTTGAATGTGATTTTCCCGTTATTTTTCTGTATACTTTTGCAGACCCCTGTTGCAAGAACTGCGCTAACAACCAAACCAGCATTGAACTGTATGACCCTCGTGATACTTGGCTGAATAATGCTTGTGTTGGAATCTAGAATGATCCGTGGTTGGATTTCTATGTTCGAGTTGTGTTATGTACAGAGAAAAGTGATTAAAGAGTGTACTTGTTCCCCCACGCGCCTCAATGTGTTTTCCAGTGCCAGTGCCGGTGCCCCATTCACCCCTTCGCCGTCCCCGAACTCCTTCCCAACCCCGGCCCCTACTCCTGCCCGACTCCCACTCCCACTCCCACTCCCCAACTCCTTCCCCGTATCCCCATCTCACCATCCTATTCCTTCCTCTCCCGGGCACCCCTTCCACTCCTGGCACTGCACTGTTTCACTCTCAACTCCCAGCTCAAGTCTGTTGCCATGGTATTAGCCAATATCCTTACTCTGTGCTCTCCCAGGCAAACTCACCAAATCAATGACTTAGAACTTCCAGGGGCAGGTAGCCTTGTAGGCCTTGATGCCACCCTCGGGGCTCCAGCAGCCACCGGTGCCGCTGACGATACCCTCGCCGGAGCAGTCGTAGGTGGAGTAAACGGTGAGCTGGCACCTGGGATCGAAGAACTCGACGTCGATGGACGCGTGGACCGCGCCGCCGTAGAAGGTGCGGCAGTGGTTGCTCTCGGTGCCCGCGGGGAACTCGATGGCGGGGAACTTGATCTTATCCATGGGGCACTGGCGGTCGACGGCGAAGTTGACCTTGCCCATCACCTCGGTGTACTGGTTGATGGTGGGGGCGGCGGTGACGGAGGTGACGGCCGCGGCGAGGAGAGAGATGGTGGTGAGGAACTGCATTTTGGCGGTGGTTGTTTGGTAAAGGAGTGTGGTGAAGTTGGTTTTGCTTGGTTGAGTTGGTTGGTTGTTGTTGTTTGTTGTGATGATGAGGAGGAAAGATGGACAGAGAAGAGGAAGGATGGACGTTCTTATAGATCTTTGTGATCATCAAGATTGACAGATTCTCGATGCATCTTGTCTGTGTACCCCTTAACCACCACTCACATCTCGTATCTCAACGGGCCATTCCGCTTACACTGTCGATCGTCGTTGAGGCTCAAAACGATTGTGCCTATTTTTGCCCCTGGGAATGTTCGGGAGGATCTGGTGATATGACGTGTGGGGTTGATGCTTGTTTCGCTTGGCTAGTGATAGGCATGCGCTAGAATCGCTAGAATCGCTAGAAGGTCAAGCGAACAACTGGCTTCAATGCACTGACCATGTGCCGCTATGATGGATATAGCTTCTCGGAGTATCTTGTGGTGGTGCAATTACCTCCTTTGCACACCGCGTACACCGCCAGCTAAAAACGGTGAAGTCGGCAAAAGGGGGGCGAAAAGGGGTGTCAACAAGCGCCAAGACAGCAACCATGGATGCAAATTGGCAATCCCGTAGGAGGAGAGATCGGCAAACGAGGAATGATATGAATGCTATGAACGCTCGCTAAAATGGGAGGATGTTATAATAAGAACGCTTCAAGCGAATAACTGATGTCTGGTATCTCAAAAGTCAATAGATCTTGGTGATGGAAAACCGTGGCCGCTGACTTTCCGACCCGCGCTTCGGGCTCAATGTCGCTGTTGTCTTTATTGTTGTCTTCCCCAGCGTCGTCCTGGTGTCAGTCCACGCTGTCCCCGTACCGACGCCTGCCCCCGAAGCTGTCGACGCATTCGAATCCTTTCTCCCCGCCACACCCCCTCTCAACACATCGCCCAACCTGACAAACTCCTTGCCTTCTATCGCATCCACCCATTGTTCAATTCTCTTGAGATAGAAGCCCTGCGCGCACTTGGCTACCGCGCCCAAAAAGTCAACCTTGAGCGCTACCTCTTCGACTTCGCCATCCCACCCGTGACCCATCAACTGGCTCATCCTGGCGCTGTACACCCTCCTCAGCTGCGTCTGCTCGTATTCCATTAGATGTATCCAATACAGCTCCGTCTTTCCCTCGTTGTCCGGGACATCCTCTACTCCGTCGCCATCCTGTCCTTCCGAGGCCTGCTCGTCACTGAACACGTCGGCATACCGGCTCCGGTGCGGCTCCTCTTCGCGCTCAACACCGCCTCGCAAAAACTCGGGGAATTGTGTGGATACCCACCGCGGCATGGTTGACACGCACTCCCAGTCCACGACACCCGTGATCCGCCCGTTGTCGTCGACCAGGATGTTATCGAGCGATAGGGAGTCGCCGTGCCAAAGGACCGTACGCTCTGGTGGGTGCACAAGCTGTGGGAAGAGTTTGTGCAAGAGGCGGGTTAACTTGCGGGCAACACGAGTAACTCCTTCTGCTGACTCCCTTTTCTCGCGGTCTGTATCATCGCCCAGAAGTGGTTGAGCAAGAGTAGCGCTGTGCTCCTTTAAGATGACGTTCAAATATGACCGAAGCCAGTCGTGGCTTGATTGGAACGGCCCTCTCGACACCGGATAATGCCAACGCTCGCCCGTAAAGAACACCGGGGAGACCATGGGCCCCGGTTCCGGCATCATCAGGTCCACATAGTCGCTCTCTCCCCTGGAAGTAGCTCCCAGCGTGCCTATTCCCCTGAACCCGGATTCCGTCATATTTCCGCACCGCGACAGCTGCGCTTGAAACTCGGCCATTCTTCCAACCAACCTCTCCTTCTGCCGCATGTTCATCTTCCTCCACCTCAAGTGTGCCGGCTTGCCTTCCAACAACTCCATCAATATCCACTCGAACCCAATCTCGTTATCACTCGTATCGTCGTACGCCACCACGACGGGAACGGGAATGTCGGTCTTGCGCCGCACGAGCTGGAGCGTGGCAACCTCGCCTCGGGCCTTGTTGTGCGGGTCGACGGGGAGAATGACGCGCATGAGGTAGCGGCCGTGGACTGGGGAGTGGATGTGGTAGAGCTTGTTGTAGGTGCCGGAGGAGTGAAAGGTAACGACGCATTGGGAGGGGGACGTTATCCCGAGGTGCCGGCGCACGACTTGGGCGATGGCGTCGATGTCGGGTTGCCGGGCCCAGCGGGGTTCGATGTCGAGGCCGGCGGAATCCCAAAAGAGACCGGAGCGGCTTGTGTCTCGGATTGACGTGGTGGTGGCGGCGGCGGCTGTCGGTGGGTTCATCTTGGATTCTCGTGTGTTTGAAGTTGTGGACGTCGAGACACTGGAGACGACGGACGACTTTGCGCTCCCTGTCCGCAGGGTTATGAATTGCGGCTGCACCATCTGTGGCGGCATCCTGCCGAACTGATACCAGCCGTACCCGTAGTCGGCATCGGTGTATGTGGTGGTCGCGGTGCAGGTGTAGGTTCGGGCCTCACATCCTGAATGATGTTTTGTCGACGAGGACGGCAGAGCAAGACGACGAACTTGGTAGCGCATTCGCCCAGCCATGGCGCGGGGTATCTCGGAGCCTAAAATTCAGGAGGGTGGACGGGCGCTTTCGGGGGACAATGCAGCGAATGGCGATGGGTCACTGCAGAATCAGCGTGGGATTGGCGTATAAGAGGAGGAAGCTGATTGGTGGATTGGCGTTACTCTGCAGGTGAGGCCGTCGCCGTTGAAACTGGACTTCAACTCTGAATTGCCATGATCGTGATGATGTCCTTCAAGATCGTAGACTCATGAGAAAGACAATCGTCTTCATATATCGCTTTTCCAGATACCAAGCTTCACCCTGACTCGGGAATGAAGGGGCTGGGGAAAATCCTTGGGCAGATCAATTGGCACATGAGGCGTGGAGCATGTCCATCATTCGGCGCTCTCTCCGTCACCAAATGGGGCCTTGTCGATAGCTTCCTGCAAGTCAAGGACCTGCCAGCCTGCCACGTTGAGAACAGTGAGCGATAAAGAGGGCAGTCAGGCCACTGGAGGTCTATAATGGGAAGTATTGACGGCATCGCAATGGGATAGGCAGAGAGACATCCAATGACAACATGGTCCATCAGGAATGTAAACAAGAAAGTAAACAAAGTTGTCGTCGATGTGTAAGACAACCATCCCATGTCGTCAAGTCGAGTCGTGGAATCTAGGTTCGGCCCGCAACGGCTGGGATGGGGGACCGAGACATGCGATGAATGTCTCACAACCTCCATTATTCCGGATGAACAGGAAGAGAACTTCATCTTGTCGACCTTCAATGACGTCAATCAATCACTGCGGAACGGGCTGTTAGCACGGGCGCATATGCAGCGCACTCTACAGCGGGGACCCTCTGTAAGTGCCCCTCCCAGGCCCCGCACGGGGAACAGCTCCGAGCACCTCTACGGCTGAATCTCTTCCCCTCTTGTGCAACTCGTCAACAAACCAACAACACTCGCAACTCCAACCATCGGACATCACAACATGTCCAATCATTTCGTTTTCAACTCGCCACCAGGCCCTCAATCACCCCGATCTCCCATGGCCTCTACATTCCACACCAACACCCAAACACTCCCCTCCATCGGCCCGCGTATCCCCACCGTCGGCCCCCGTGCCCGCGACCTCCACTACTCCATCCGCGACTTCCTCTCCGCCCACCCACTCCTCGAGCTCGGTGGCCAAGAACACTTCACCGTCGAGCGACGCCGCCATCAAGAGGTATTTGGCATCCACGCCCTACCCAAGGACAGGATCCATCCGATTGACGACGTCGAGTTTACCGCCATCCGGGGGCCCCATGGGACGATCCCCATTCGCGTTCTCTACCCGAGTTCGGGGAAGGACAACAGAAACAAGGGAAGGGCTGGGGCGTTAATATACTTTCATGGAGGCGGGTACACAGTTGGCTCAGTGGATGAGTTTGAGAATGGACTGCGCTTGGTCGCGGAGGAGTCAGGGTGCCAGGTCTACGCGGTGGAGTACAGACTGGCGCCGGAGTTCAAGTACCCGGTGCAATTGGATGAGTATTCGGCGGTGATCGACTGGGTGCAGGGTGAGGGAGGGAGGACGAGGGAGTGCATCCGGATAAAGTTTTGGGAGGAGGGGATTCAGCGGGCGGGAACATGACGGCGGCCATTTGTTTGAGGAGGATGGATGAAGGGCGAAAGCCGTTGGCTGGGCAGGTGTTGCTGTATCCGGAGGCGAGGCTGCCCTTTGATACGCCCGCGGCAACGGAGATCAATTCCAGTCTATACCTCGAATGCAACGGCATCTTTGGCTTTGCGAGTAACTACCTGCCGCGGTCTGAAGGTAAGCCGTCAGTCTCTTCTTCTGCCACCCATCTAACACATTGTGCTGCCAGACATCTCCCCTCACGACCGTTACATCTCCCCCGGTATGCAATCCGTCGAAGACCTCCGTGGTCAACCACCCGCTGCCGTGTTCACCTCCGGCTACGACCCCCTACGAGACGTCGGCTGCGAATACGCAAACAAGCTGTCACAGGCTGGAGTACAGACTCGCTGGCGTCACTACGACAACCTCACACATGGCTGGCTTCAGATGACGGCGTGGTCGGAAGCGGCAGAGCAGGCTGTCAAGGATGTTGCGCAGGAGGTCAAGAGGCTAGTTTTTGCGGCCAGTAATACACACACACCCAGGACGCCCCAGGGCCAGAGTCAGACATGGAACAGTGGTGATATCAAGTTTGCGGGTTCGAGATGATGGGACTGGGGAGCGTGCCATTCTATGCTTCCAGATCTTCTTGTTCCACCTCTCCGTTTTGCTTCACATGATAACGCTATCGCCCTGTATCTAGAGGCATCATCAGCGTAGCATTGGACCTGTTTAGTGCGCGGTACGGTTCTTGACAGGCGTACTCCACGACAGCTGCTCCTCATCAAAAGCATCGACTTCCCATTGACCAATCGTTCTTGTAGTGTCATAGCGCGTTCAATCGGATCGGACCCGCGCGTCGTTCCACGTCAGCTTCGAGTTTCATCCAGGCAACAACCGTCCTTGTCTATCATCGCGAGTACGACCACTCAGAAGTCGTTGTATCTTCAGGAGCTACTAAACAAACACGCTTCCCCGCAATCCCCAACCTCTTCCACGTCAGATCTTAAAAGGCACCTCACCTCATCCTCTTCTCAACCTCAACCTTTACCTCTGCACACCTACACGGCCGAATCTCTTTGCTCACCAACGTCAAGATGGAAGCCAACATGGACCACCCTCATCCTCCTCCTCCCGGTCACGGCCACCCACCCCCTCCTCACCACTCGTCCGAAAAGACAACCGCCAAGTTCTTCAACCACGCCTCCGCCCGACGCATCGACACGCAATGCGTCATTGCCACCACCCTCAAACGACAGTACCCCAACCTGGAACTAACCATCGCACCCATCTACTCCATCAACCTCCTCGCTTTCGCCGCCGCCGGCCACGCCACCGTCACCCCGCTCACCGAAGACCTCGGCTCCGACAACAAATACCCCACCACCCTTTCCACCACCTCTTACATCCCTCCCGCCCGACGCATCGACAACTCCCCCGGCTTCCTGATCAAAGACATCATCTTCGCCAAGTACCTCTTCACCTGGCAATCCAAGGAATTCATCGTGTACATCGCCGACGGGCGCGACGGCGCATCGGCCTATCCCCAGGTAAAAAACAACTACATCCTTTCCCCCTCAACGCACCTCTCCGAGTCGCTGTTGCTGGCAGCCGGTAAATGGTCCGATTCGCTGCTGAACGAGATCTGGGTGTTTGACGGGGGGTGGTGGCAGAAGAGTCGGGAGCTGTGGGAGAGTATCCAGGGAGCGAGCTGGGAGAGTGTGATTCTTGACGAGGGCATGAAGGAGACGATTATTAGGGATCATTTGAATTTCTTTGGGAGCAGGGAGACGTATGGCAGACTCAAAGTGCCGTGGAAGAGGGGAGTCATTTATTGGGGACCGCCGGGGAATGGGAAGACGATTAGTATCAAGGCGATGATGAAGACGTTGTTGGATCAGAAGGAGAGTGTGCCGAGTTTGTATGTGAGGAGTTTGGCTTCGGTAGGTGCTCCCTGTCCCGTTTGCTTTAAGGCGGAAGTGCTAACAGAAACAGTACGCCGGCCCTGAATACGCCCTGTCCGCAATCTTCCAAAAAGCGCGCCAATTCGCCCCCTGCTACCTCATCTTCGAAGACCTCGACTCTTTGGTCAGCGACGACGTGCGCTCCTACTTCCTCAACGAAGTTGACGGTCTCAAATCTAACGACGGCATCTTCATGATCGGGTCTACCAACCACCTGGAACGGCTGGACCCGGGCATCTCCAAGCGTCCTTCGCGGTTCGATCGCAAGTACCTCTTCCCCAACCCGGACCTCAAGCAGAGAGTCATGTACTGCAAGTTCTGGCAGAATAAGCTGAGAGGGAGCGAGGGGATTGAGTTCCCGGATGTGTTGACCAAGAAGATTGCCGAGATTACCGGTGATTTCAGTTTTGCGTATATCCAGGAGGCGTTTGTGGCGAGTCTGTTGGCTATCGCCAGGGATTCGAAAGAGAAGGAGGAGGTCCTGGCTAGGAGTGGGATTGAGGATGATTGGGAGAGGCTGACGCTGGAGGATTCGGATGGCAGTGATGATGGAGATGACGATGGGGATGATGAGGATCTCGAGAAGTATGTGCTTTGGGTGGAGATTAAGAAGCAGGTTGCTATTCTGAGGGAGGGGATTGAGCATGAGGATTGAGGTGAAGAGGCTGGGACTCGCTGGGCTGCAGGGTACGGCGTTCTGGGAAGCAGGCATGGCTTCTGGTTAATTGCTGAAGATTAAGTACAGCTAAAGCATACCTCTATTGCTAAGTGATCAAATGGACTTATCATCGTTGACCATATCCCCAGCAGGTGGGCCCCATTCATCAAGCAACCTCTGAAGCTCTTCGGAGTCCATCTCCGTGAATTCGACGTCGAGACCCAGAAGCGAATCGGCGAACTCATCAGCGTTGACTACCAACTCCGGAGCCGGAGGTGGCGTGAGAGTGTTAAAAAAGTCTGACGCTGATGGTGTTGTACCCGTTCCACTGCCACGCGCCCTCGGATCTCCTTGGGAGGAAGCGGACTGTGGTCGTTGTTCTTGCACAGATGCTAATGACTGCCAGTAGAGGTATACATCAATTGTAGATTTGATATGATTTCAACCAGCCGCGGCAGTAAGCGCTCTCGGTTCTGGAATTCCTGGTTAGGCAGGCCTTCAAGCTCCCTCCGGACAATAGGAGGCATTTCTCTCCGAATGAACCTGGCATAATCCTCGAATCAACAAAGGTAACACAGAGCTTCATAATCAGTACCGCTGGCCATCAGGCAGACAACTCATTATCAGGCACGTGACAGTTGGAGAACAAAGTGAAAAACAACATTAAAGGGTTCGGGAAGTCCATACATGACCCCAACTCTCTCCCCCAAAGAAACGACACCTCAGCTCTATGGTGTCCTGTAAACGACAACCACATCTCACTGTGCGGCGCAGTTGAAAGATGCGGCCTTGTTATTCCAGTCTCCCAGGTTCAACATTCCGGGATAGCGCAGGCTGAGCTCGGCGCCGGTGCAGCTCCCGGACCTGGCGTCTCGTTAGACTTCTTTTGCCAGTACATTATCGAGTAAAAGTATACTCATTTTCTGGCGGGGAGGAAGCAAAAAGAAAAAGAAAACTTACGAGTACAGCGTGCACTAGGACTTCGGGTCGGGCCCGGCCGAAACGACCTTTCTAAAGAAACCGCTTTCGAAGTCATCTGTCAGAGGTTCGTTAGTTGAAGTCAGTGATCGATTGTCTACCTGTAGGGGGAATAGTAGGTTACGGGATGAATCGGGATGGGGGAATAGGAACTTACGACAATCGTTGTAGGGGAGCGAGTATTCTTGGCAGAGGCCGACAAAGTTCTCCTGGGTGCAGACGTAGAAGCTGGCTTGCGCGCTCCGTGTTAGGAGAAGGCCGAGGATGGAACTGGCTTTGGCTGTGAACTGGAGCTTCATTGTGGTTTTGGAGTTTGGTTGAACGTTCGACGTTTGGGATGGTGGTGGTGTCTGGAGGTGATAATGGGGGAGGGGGAGGAGATGTTGAGTCAGGTATATATACCTATGCATACCTCTAGTTGTCTGGACCGTCATGGAAGATGGATATAAGGAGGCTCACCGTATTTCTCGCCGTGGGAATGACATGGTCGTGCTATATATGAGTCGTACAAGTATCGAGGCTCGTCTAGACCGTCAGTCTATGATGAAGCCATTCAAAGACCGTGTTCGTGTGTAATTGTAACATTTACTGGTACACATGTGTGATGTGACGTAATGTAGGACCTGTTATGTGAGATGCTCACTAGCGTTACCTAAGGTAGTGCAAAACCCGGTCCTGTCTTATAGATCGAGTGTCGAGTCTATGTAAGGATCTTGGAGAGACCCTTGCTGGACGTCTATCAGAACTGGAACAAGTAGAGCATAGTACAGGTCAAACAAAGGTACGAGTTTGTGTACCTTTCACCCGTCTCTTCAGCTTTAACTGCGCCTCGCATTGGACGTCGTGGATCATTGGCTTTCCAAAGCCGAGAGCAAAGAGTGGCGTGCATTAGCCCACATCGTGATCATGTTAGTCAACCAATGACGGGCGTGAAGCTCTGGAAAAGCCTGTCCGGGAAAGCACATGTATTGAAGTGCCCATGACGAACTGAGGCGAATGCGAGACAAACGGGACACGCCCGCGGTGAAAGCGCTTTACAACATATGAATAAGGGAATAACTCACCAAAGTCAAACGGTCCCGTACCCTCCCGCTACATCTTTTGCTGGTAGCAGCTTCTGGTATTCGCATTGATGGGTCTTTCTTGCGTGCCACGATCGTGCCACCCATAGAGTGAACATGGCAAAGAGCAACAAATACCCGAGAAGGGCTTCTGTCGAGCCAATGTATCCAAAGTTGTTGTCCTTAAATCCTCCATTCTGCCGCTTGAAGAAGACCTCTCGGTGTCCCATCTTGATGCGATAGACCCGGTCCACTTTTCTCGGTTTGGTGGGCAGCTGTGCATGATACTTCTTCCAGATGGCGCTCTCGAACTCTGGGCCGCCGCTGTGTGTGATGGTCAGATGCGGGGACAAGAAACGGTGTCCTCGAGAAGTGAGGGACTCGGTCATCATGATCCAGTAAGGATGATGAGGCCTCGCCCCAGCGATGCCGTGGCCGCCGTTGAGTACCCACGCGGGGTAGTAGAGCAAGGGCTCAAGATCACGGGAGCAGCCGTAGTTGGGGTCAATGTATATGCCGCCGTAGTGACGCATGAGGAAGTAGCGAAGAGCATTGACCCGCTGGACGGGGCATGAGTAGCTGTCGTAGGTCTCGAGCAACCATTCGTAGTGTGTCTCGATAAACTGGCGGGAGGAATTGACGGTCCATAGGCGGTACTCGAAGTCGGGGTTTGTTATTGTGCAGGTTTGGCGTACGTCCCAGTCGGCGGGAATGGTCTCGTTGATGAGGTCTTGCCAGTTGTGGTGGATTTGGTGGATGATCTTGGGGATGAACTGGTCTTTGCCTTCGCTTGGGGTGTTGAACGTACTCGCAACATCGGCTTGCGTCAAGGACGGACTGGCAAAGTAATGGGCGATGTGGATCATGGCTCGAGTATTGGGTATGTTTAGAAGGATGACGGCTGACAGGGCGGCGAGGCCGAGAAACCTGACGGTTATGGCAGGCATGGTGGGCAAGAGCTTGTGTAAAGCGAGAGCCGATCCAGCGTGGTACTGGTGCTGGAAGACACGGGTCAGTATGGGGGTTCCAAACGCCGTCTCGACAAGGAATGGAAGAGCAGATGAAAACGGAAAAGGATTGAAGACGGAACCTGTGGCTCTTCGCTGAGCTATTGCAAAGCGGTCCGAGATCGAAGGTTGATCGTCGAGGCTTGCGAAGAGAATTTGCCGATGGAAAGAGATGACTAGATTCGAAGGGACGGGAAACAGCTCAATCAGTCTGTGGGCGAGAGAAAGTGGCAGTTTGCCGTGCCGAAGAAGACGGACCTTCGTTCATCCTTCCAGAATCAGACCATCCGCCGATGGCCGCATCTGAATGGGATATCCACGTGCGTGGTGTTTTGCTGCGCGAGCAGAGTGTCTTTCTCATCCGAGAATTACGTCGAGCGTCAAAGCTTCAGCCTTGCATCGACCTTAAATCACGAGCGGGAGACCGTAGTAGGTTCAGATAGGTTTCGGTAGTCGGTGATGTTAAGGGAAAGATCAAAAGTCAAGATGAACTGCGGGGAGGAGTTCCCAAATTGCGGGGGTGGATCGTCCGGCCGCTAACAGCCCCGCCACGGACCGCTAGAAGACGCTAAACAATTAAGCTTATCTGGCCCTAACAAGGCAGAGCCCTGCGAGCCGTCCCGCAAAGCACTTCATCCCGTCGCGTCGCGTCTTCCACATTTCATTTCTTTTCTTCCTCAGCCTTCTCCCACCATCACGACCCAACCGACAAAGCCTCCCATTCTGACTCTTCAACCCATCCCGACTCTGAACCACCCACGCATCGCTTGCCACCGTCGCTGGCGCCCAGAAGACCCCCCACGGATCCCATTCCCTCTTGACGCCCATCAGCTTCTCATAGTTGCTCCCCCAAAACGCATGCTGCCAGTCCGGCTCCTCGAGATCCGCTTCGTTCAGATACGATCCTCCGCCGGGCGTCGCCTCCCTTATCGCATCCATGTACCCTTGCAACCGCTTATGCGCCGCCGCCACTTCCTCCGCCGTCGCTGTCCCTTAGAATCGTCGTACCGAACAAGTCCGCGTGCATCACCGTCTCGCGCCAAACCGGGTTTACAGCCGAGGGATAGGAATAACCGCCTGCGCGCAGGGTCGGGGACAGGTTGAGGCCATGGAAGAAGAAGCCGGCTTCGACAGCTGCGCGGACGGCGGACATGGTGGAAGAGAAGAGTATACTATTGGTAAAGGAGGAACGGGGGAAGAGGCGGGACGCGAAGAGCATGTTAGGGAGAGGGCCTTCGGGTTCAGAGCGAGGGGCGCCATACACTATTGTCGTGACGGTGGCCGTTGATACCAAAATTCTGAGCGATTGGAGCTTTGCGAACAAAGGTTGGACGAATTCCGTTGTTTCGAATATCGTCCTGCCCGGCATTTGCACCTTAACTTGCATCAGGAAGCTCCCGCTCCCGTTGCCCATGGACAGGGCTTGAGTCCAGAGGTAGCCACCTACGTCGACGGTGGGGATGCCGAAGGCGTAGACTGCGTTTAATCCCTTCCAGAACACTTCGCTATCGGTTATCCTTACGATCGGACCGGAAAGTGTGGTCGAATTCCCCACAAAAAGTCGGCAACAGTCAGATTGATGGCCGGATGTGCCTTGACGACTACGGAAGTCACCACGCCGTAAGTGCCTGCTCCCGCGTCAGCTGCCATTCCAAAAAAACCAAACAGACTGCGAGACCTACTGCCCCCTCCACCTCGCAAAGCCCAAAACAGCTCCCTCTCTCTCCCCTTCGACTCTGCGCTAACAACTCTATGCCGCCCACCCGCCGTCACGACTCCCATCTCCAGCGCCTGATCGACTCCCAACCCATACATCGAGCTCAACTCCGAATGTCCTCCGCCCGCCAGCCACCCCCCGAACGAACCCACCGTTGCGCAACTCCCTCCCACAAGCGTGATGTTATACTTCTCCGAAAACACCCTGCCTTCTTTGATCTGTACCCCGGCTCCCACTCGAGCAGCTGGGCCAGAATAAGGGTGGTTGGGTCCGCGTTGGGCGTATTGAGGTAGGAACTCGAAAGACTTGAGGTGGTGCGTCCAAATGGACAGGACCCCGGCACTGGTGTTGCGGCCCACGAAGTCGTGGCCGGTGTTTCTGTTTCCGGTCAGCCCAACTCTACGCCAGACGGAGCATACCTACTTTATCACCAGTCTAAGATTCTTGTTCCTCGCAAAGTTCACCGCCGCCTGGACATCCCTAACGCTAGTTGCGTTAACCACATACACCGGAAACCCACCCTGTGTGCAAGTCAATGTCGAGTTCCAGTTCCCCGTTGTGTTTAGGTTCCGAGCCGGCAAACAAGTGTTTCCGGTCGTCCACTGCTGTGCCGGACTGACGGGGTCGTCGAGATAGTATGTTTTGGTGAAAAGGGAAGAGCAGGCTGAGGGGTTGTAGTTCGGGGAGGAAGGATAGCAGACGGATCCCGGTGGAAGAGGCTTGAGAAGCGCCCCGTTTAGTGTTCTGTTTAGGCGATCCCACTCGGCATCGCTGGGTCAGTCTGAGTCTCCGGGGAACGCTTTGCAGCGAGGGGAAGATGGCCTGGCGAAGGCAGATCTAGAGGACGCGGAACCAAAGGCGACGGAGGGGAAGTCGGTGATGTCCTTGGTGGTTAGTCGGGTATCGTGAGGGGCGAAGGGGGAGGCTGATGCGAAGGGCATCACAACGAGAAGGAGAAGGGAGCACATGCCTGCTAAGAGGTAGGTAAGCCGTTTGGAAGAGAGTTCTTGGACCTGCCATACCTTCATCAAGACTGGAGAACCTCCATTCTATCTTATATCCCCAGCCATCACCTCCCTCTTCCACAACAGAAGCCCCTCGGCAACTCAAACCTCGACGATGGAGGGTCAGTACTACGCATCATGCAAGCCACAACCGATATTGCTTCCTCGGGTTACAAGCTGATGCTGTGACTCGATTGGTGACTTGAGAGACGGTCGAACCGTCGAGTCCGATCTTGGGAATATTGGCTTTAATCTCAACCCGATTTGTTGTTGAGTGAGCGCCATGCATATCCTACCTGTATTATGGCTTTCTTGCCGCAATGATCAGAGTTGCTGGAACGATGACCGGCAACATTAGGTTGTGGTACCATACATCTCCCTTATGTACTTGCGAGCTGCGAGTGAGCTGAGCATCGGAGGTTTATCTATCACCGAGTGGTGGGAGAGGGTTATGGTTCGCGAAAAACACCAACACGGGACAAAAGACTATAGCTAAACAACACGAAAACATTGCACAGTGTCCTTCTTTAGCGGCCCAGAACATCAAGGCCATCCAGAACATGAAGGGAGCTGACGTCGATCATATACATAACGCCTGGCTGTTATCCCAGCCCCAAGCGCGACAAGCGCCTTTACCCGCCGGCTATTTCTACATCCCTGTGCCCAGCAGCCCGGAGATGGCCTTCCAAGCGAAACATCACTGTTACTTGGGTCAATGCAACGCTATCTGTAACATGATGTGTGGCCACTTTGTCGTTTTGAACTTTGACTTATGAGTGTCGCACGAACCCTTCCATATGCTTTTCCAATGACAACTTCCACCCCCTACCAATAACTTCAAAGGTCAAAATGGGCTCTTCCAGCGCGACAACCCGTTTGACATGGACGCCGTTTGTTTTCTCTCTACTCTTACTGGCCACGGCAGGGTGCGGTCATAAAGCAAACGCCCACGAGCTTCCCCTCTCCACTCATCCATTACTTCGACTGCAATGCCCAAACCTCACCCTCTTCCATCGCCATGCGACATCAACTCATACAGCAACTTGTCCCGTCCCTGGCCTTCTAGGAATCTTCCCCGATCTCAATACCGATAGCAACACCAATAACCTCAACCTGCCCTGGTCCTTCCCGCCCAAATGCATGACTCTCGCGTCTTCATCGAAGAAATCCTCCCCTGCGTCATCTTATCAGTCAGCATCATCTGTGTCGTCCACTTCGTCAGCCTCATCTGCGTACTCCTCTTCATCGTCTTCCTTATCTGCATCTGCCTCTCTTGAAAACGACGAATCCAGAGGAAAGGAAATACCATACTGCTTGTTTACCTCCCAGCCATTCCGCAACGGCCACGGAACCAGCCTCATTGTGTCTCCCAACACGGCGTCACACCTGCTTGGATTAGGAGTATTCGAAGATCGCCCACCACCGTGGAAATGGATCCGCCAATCTAGCCGTTCCCGCTCCAACGAACAGCAAAGGACAAATCTCGCCTACAGAATCATCAACGTTGCGGGAAAGGGGAAGGGGGTAGTTGCCACGAGACCCATCAAACAGGGAGAAATCATCATGGTCGACTATCCCGCGCTGCTGATTAGCGAGGAGTTCCTACGGGAGACGGGAAGAGAGGGTAAAGGGCACTTGAGACGGAGGATGGTCAAACGCGCCATTGAACAGTTGCCGGAGATTACGAGAGAGAAAGTGTGGGGGTTGATGAGGGGACCAGGGAAGTATGAGGTTGATGCGATCATGGGGGTCAACCTAAAGGGATTAGAAGGCGTTGGTTCGGGCGCGAACTCGGCATTGGCACTGTTGGAGGAACCAAGGACGGAAGAGCACGGGGAGAGCTATGCGGCGGAGGGGGTGATGGGGTTGTTTGCTGAGGTTGCGGTAGGTTTATCGATGAGAGGCAGGTGAAGCAAATGCTGACTGGGTGACACGATGACTAGCGGATCAACCACTCCTGCCGACCAAAGTGAGTCCGGTCTAGCCACATGGTGCCGAAGAAAGCTAACAGCTTGTCGCAGCGCTCGCCTGCGATTTGTCGAGAACCGAGCTACCATGGAAGTCATATCCTACCGTCCCATCTCTCCGGGGGAGGAGATTTCTATCAGCTGTACGCTTTCATCCTTTCCCGAGTCCCCCTCACCACCCATCCAGACCCGAAGCTGACACACCCAGATACCGCCCTTACCCTCTCCCCCTCCGACCGCCACCATTTCCTCAAGCAAAACCACCAATTCACCTGCCACTGTCCCCTTTGCACCTCCCTCTCCGATGACCCCTCAGCCAAAACTCTCACCGCGGAGTCCCACTCCCGCCGCACCCACCTCCAAGAAGTGTTCGATACGATGCTCCACGCCAAAGGCGAAGGTTTCTACCAAGACGCTATCAACATCTTGAAGGATTGGCTCGACTTTGCAGAGGTGGAAGGACTGCTACCCTTGATGGGGGAATATCACGGGACTATGGCTGAACTGTATCTCCTGTTGGCAGAACGGGGTAGCCCTGGGGATAAAGAGGTGGATAGAGAAGGAGCGCTCAGGCAGGCGTTGAGGGAGGCGAGGATGGCGGTTGATGCGTGGGTGAAGTTGCGGAGTGTTGACGGTAGGAAGACGGAGGAAGCGAGGGTGTTTCTTGAGAAGGTCTTCAAGTTGAAAGAAAGAAGGGGGAAGGGAAAATGATGGTTTTATGAAGAGAGTTTGGCGGAGTGAGTGATGAGAGAGTGTCCATGTCGACGATGGAACAAGATGTGCCAAGCGGTTGTGGACATGGGTCAGGATAGCCCTGTCAGCGGTCTTTGACCCCCCGTTCAGCATTCTATCCACGAAACCACCAACCTCTCTTTTGCATGCAAAGCTTCTCCAGTTCCAAAAGGTATCATTCCCAGCTTCCTATTTCGATACAGGTACCGACAATAACATCAATGATAAGCCCTCTGCTATGCAAATGTTCAGCACGTGTCAGCAACCAACCCGGACCAGCCAATCGCATTGATCAATTGCAGCACGCATGGTGCCAAGCTTCTTGTTGCCATCTTGGAATCTCATCCTAGGCTGCAAGGATTCGCTCAACACCACGACTCCAATGATGCCATAGCCCGGAAAGCAACAACAACCCCACGTGCCGGAGATACACCGGACACTGGCTGCTTTGTCAATCTTCACCCTCATTGTCGTGAATCTTGAAGGCAATACCACTTGGCACTGTACCTGCAGCACGCAGAACGTGGGGTTTGCTGATCCGGTAAAAGTTAGCCGCGGTGGACTTCAAGCGATGAGATCAAGATATAATCCCATTGACAACCCAGTGTCACCTCCAGCATTCCCTTTCTTCGTCACCTCCATCCTTCACCTCGTCCTCCTCTTCACCGCCCTCCCCTTCCAACCGGCGCAATGCCCTCCACCCTCTCAACCCTATGCTTGGTAGCTCTCGCAGCACCAGCCCTCGCCCTCCCAAGCCATGGCGGACCAGGCAAAGACCAATCCGGCATCAAGCCCATCAAGAGAATCCAGCTCGGCCCCCGTCCCTACTGGCTAATCGACCAAATGGAGGACTCCCCCCTCAAGACCAAGCTCCAATCCTGTTCAGAGAAGGAGATGCGCCCAAGCCGTTGGAGCATCGGCCACCGTGGCGGCGGCACTTTGCAGTTTCCTGAGGAGACGGAGGCGAGTATCATGGCTGGTGTATGTCCCCTCCCGTCCTCCAGAACAGATTGACAGTTGGGACTAACATGGGGACGAAAACAGACTCGTATGGGTGCAGGAATCGAAGAATGCGACGTAACCTTCACCTCAGACCAACAGCTCATCTGTCGGCACTCCCAATGCGATTTGCACACCACCACCAACATCCTCACGATCCCTTCGCTGGCCGCCAAGTGCACCGTCCCTTTCACTCCCTACAACGCCACTACCAAGCAATCGGCAACAGCCAAGTGCTGCACCAGTGATTTCACCCTCGCCGAGCTCACCGAAACCAAGGGGCTCTGTTCAAAGATGGACTCCTCCAATCCCCAGGCTACGACACCGGAGGAATACCAGGGTGGCGTACCCGGCTACCGAACCACGCTCTACTCCGGCCCAGGCACCTGCCACAAGCTGTTGACCGTGAAGGAGTACATCGCGCTCGTCGACACGCTAGGGCTGGACTTTACGCCGGAGCTGAAGACGCCGGAGGTCAAGATGCCTTTTGGTTCGGCCAACTTTACGCAAGAAGCGTTCGCTCAGCAGTTGATCGACGAGTTCAAGGAGGCGGAGATCAACCCCAAGCGCGTCTGGCTACAGAGCTTCTTGTATGACGACGTGTTGTACTGGCTGCGCGCCGAGCCGGAGTTCGCGAAGCAGGCTATTCTTCTCGACCAGTCGGGTGATGCTCCGAGCACCATCTCCGCTGCCACTGCTTCCTTGACGAAGTATGCCCAAGACGGCGTCCAGATCGTTGCTCCTCCCCTCGAGTATTTGGTGTCAACTGCCACCGACAAGGATGGGAAGGTCAAGGTTGTTGCGAGCGAGTATGCCAAGCAGGCGAAGAAGCTTGGGTTGAAGGTGATCAGCTGGAGTTTGGAACGGTCCGGATGGCTCGCGGATAGTACCAAGGGAGGGTATTATTACTCGACGATTGCGAATGCCACGGCGGCGAGGGGAGAGGGCGTGGTGTTCGAGTTGCTGGATGTTCTGGCAAGCAAGGAGGTCGGGGCGATTGCCGTTTTCAGTGACTGGAGCGCGACGGTCAGTTACTATGCGAACTGCTTTGGATTGTTTCCTTGATTTGGGGATGGAAGGGCATCACTCGTGAAGGGTTGCTCCTTTATATACCCACCAATATAAAGGCAATGACATGACATCCCTCAAGGGCGATACCGCTAAGCAAACCTTTGGACCAATGGCTAAGTGGTCTGAGGAGACTCTGACTTGACCCGCAACCTTTAGGTCCAACGGCTCGTGACAAAGGAGCTATGCCCGGTTCGCCGGCGCTAATGGGCTTGTCATATTTGTAGTATTGCTGATAGCTCAGTAGGGTTAGGGTTAGGGTTAGGGTTAGGGTTAGGGTTAGGGTTAGGGTTAGGGTTAGGGTTAGGGTTAGGGTTAGGGTTAGGGTTAGGGTTAGGGTTAGGGTTAGGGTTAGGGTTAGGGTTAGGGTTAGGGTTAGGGTTAGGGTTAGGGTTAGGGTTAGGGTTAGGGTT